GCTATAAGAATTAGATTCTCATCGAAAGGAAGATGTACATCCAAATGATGCAGATTCTTAAATCGAAAGACAGGCGAAATTCGATCACACGTAGGAATGATTTCATATCCTATAGTACGAACGTTATCATATGATGAGTCATCATTATCGACATGACGAGTTGATTTCGATTTGATATTCGCTCGATGAACAGAATAAAAATCGAACGCATACGGTAATGTATAAAGATAAATATTGTTTTTATCACATTGTTCACAACAATTCCAATCGCATCGAACGAACCACTGATGTTCGCGCAACCAAAACTGTGTTCCAAATGAATTCAAGAGGTCATCAACTCGTTGCTCTTTGTTATCATAATCCTCGAGTCGAAAGATCATTTTTAGATGAAACTGCTTCAATTGTGGCAAATATTTGACAATAATTTCTTCCCAATTATGCCCATTCATGTTAACTTCATCTGTTGTAACGGTTAAGCAACGTAGTTTCGGAATATGCTTTAGAATAGTCGTCAACGTCAATGGCGACATATATGCGGATAATTTGACTGTGACCAACGATGTGGTTGGGAACGTAAGCGATAAATCATCATCTGGATCGTCTCGCAGCAAGATATGAAGATATTGCAGAGACGGAGTATGTCGTAGGAGATTGTTTAGGTCATTGCAACTGTAACAATAGGATTCGATCGATAGAGATCGAAGCGAAGTCGAAATTGTGGATGGATGAATTGTGTAAGAACCTTCCGAATGAAAATCGATATCCATATGACAAGAGATAAGTTCAGGTAATTTCCAGAGATTATTAAGTTGATTTGAAATGGATTGAGATTCAGTTTTAAAAGAACAATCCGTGAAATCAAGGCGAGTTAAATGAGGAAAGTGATGACATTCAATCAGCAGTCGGTGCATTACCATCGACGAACGAAGATGGTGGATTTTGATTGATCGTAAAGAGTTCATTTGGGAGAAAGTTATACCATAACTAAGAAAAGAATTGATCGAATTGGGTGTTTCAATATCGTCTGATAGAGTTAGAGAGATGATTTGATTAGCAATTAATGGTAAATTTCGTTGACAAAAGAAACGAAAATCATGTTTCGATACAGATCGAAAATGAAGATGATAGGTTTTAGAATGAGTCAGTAGAAGTGTATCGAATCGAGTATTTAATTGATTGAAAGCACGAAGAATATCAACAGCTGAAAGATACTCAAATATATCAAGCAATAATTCGTTAGCCAATTGTTCGAAATTCATCGTATACATTTGAATAAAATGAAGCAATGATGTTACTCTTTTTTTGTCGTTTTACCTTCATATCATGTTGTATTTGCTGATAAGACACATTAGTAAGAAGCACACATGTCGTTTTTTTTTCGGTTTCCGATTACTTACATACAAGGACAACATGTGCGTTTAATTCTGAATTATCCGTTAAAATAGTTTACGATATTTTTTTCGAACACGAGCGATTAAAATGCGATTTAGACAATAGGTTAGGGTGTCGTCCAACTAGCCATTCGGCATATTGTCATTTCTGGAACATATTGCTGTGTTAGTGGTAAGTGTTGGTCGAATGCACGAAATCGAGCAAATGAAACTTGAGCATAATTTGTGCATGAAATAAAATGGTTCTACTGGACGAAGCTTTTTTTAAATTTATTTTTAGTTTGAACGTTTCAAGATTAAATTACAGAGAAAACTATGATAAGAAAAAAGTGTTCAATCCTTTTGAACTGGGATCGGATTTGCTAAATTGTATATCTTTGCGCCTTCAGAATAGTCTTTCCCGGGAATTCGCTCAATGTCTGGAGGAAATTTCTCTCGTTTATCAGCGTAGTATGCATGACGACAATCGCCATCAGATAAAGCATTAAAAGTTAAATAAAAAGCACGTCGTGGACGATTCGAAAGATTTTTTCCTGATCGATGAGGCAAAAGTGAACCAAAAAACAACAAAGAACCAGCTTCCACTTCAACCGCTTCCCATCGATTTTCCTTTTCCCACTTTTCCACTAATTGCTTTTCAAGAACACCACCAGGATGAGGCAACATTCCCGATTTATGTTCGCCACGAACAACTTCAAGACATCCGTTTTCTTTATCAGATTTATCTGCCGCAATCATCACAGTTAATTGAAAACGATGTTTAAAACCGACATATGCCGGTGCATCTTGATGTGCATCGAATCCAGCACCGCCTGCCAGTTTAAAATTAATCTTCTCTTTGAAAAGCACGGCACGTTCTCCCAAAAGTTCGGAAACAGCGTCTGTAATTTTTCCACGAATCAATTCGTCGAGGTCAGGGAAATAATCGAGAAAGTTTTCCGTACGGCATATGAGTTTCTTCTCGTTCACGACTTCGAAGTATTGCATCCATTTACCGGCAGTTTCGGGAAGAGCAAGAATTTTGTCAGCATATTCCACAAACTTCTTCTTTTCATCGGCTGTCAGAAGATCTGTTTCAACAAGAAATCCATCGTTCTGGAACTGTTTGATTGTTTCGTCTTGGAATAGTCGACATTTTGTTGGAGTCGATGGTTTAGCATTCACCATTTTCAAAAAAGAAGGTTTCAACAATCAGTGAGAAGTAACAGTCGTACGTGAAAATAGGCGAGGTATATAAATAAAATGTTGATCATTGACGCATAGAGAAGGTTGAAGCAAAGTGTACACTTTAGTTACACCTAAGAGCGTTCTGAAAGTACGCATTATAAAGGTGAATACGCACAATTCGCCTATTTTAACCTTCATCTTGTGTATTATACAAAAAAAGGATATTCAATGACATGCGCGTTGATCGAATATTGTGTGAATTGTCTTTTGTAACACGGGTAAATACTATCTTGATTACCTCTGAAAGTTCTGCTTCACTCGTGAGGATCTGCAAGTGCTCCACAAAGGTCAGTATACTGCAATAAAGCATTTCTTAACACTTATAATTTATTTCGAAATAACGAAAATAAAGTCCTGTAATATCCATAAAATGTTCTACATGCCTGTGTCGACATGTTTATTGCACAGCATCTTTATGCGAAGACAGTTAAGTCGTTTTCGAGAGGAATTCGAACAAGACTTTTATCTTTATTATCCATCTCTTCAATAAATCAGCTGGGCAACGACACGATATACATATATCATTCAAGTATAAATATCCCTCATAGTTTCCAATCGTTCCATAGTGCTATTATCGTCGATATGTCTGAAACTACACAAAAGATGGATGAAGACGAACTTCAACTAGAAGTCGAAACGATGATAGGAAAACAGAAGTAAAGATTTCATCATAGAATCAACCAGATTTAGTTCTCTTGTTGGTGAACATATTCAGGTCATCGCGGATGAAAACTTCTCCAATATTTCAGAAGAAGTTCCTGTGGACATCAGTGTTATTACTGTCGATCGCGAGCGTTTCGATCATCGTTTGGATTTCTTATCATGCATCACAGGGGAAAGATTCAACAACAAGTAATGATTATGAATACAGCGATGGAAAAGTACCACAATTACGATCGTATACATCCGGCAAAGTCAGTCTCGATTTTTTCTCATCTTTATAGATGTGACGTTCTTTCTTTAGAAATACAGATTTGAGTATTCAGATGATACTGGATATTTGAATATTTATATGCGTAAAAATCCTGGTGATAGACGATATCGACCAGAGAAAGTTCGTTTTCCCGCTGCTCGTTTTGATCGTCGACGACTTCGTATATTTGAAAATCTCTACTAATCGTAGCAAACAACTACATTTCTCTTCTATTTAGCTATCAACGGTCCATTTTTCAATTTTCTGCCACGAGTTCCAATATTTGCCGATCGACGCACAAAACAGACGCTCATTTGGTCGACGTCCGGAGGCGGTAATCATAGTTCTTCTCATATATGTGAATCCATCATTTGATTTACCGTCACATCTTGTAGTTTACATATTACCTCCACTGGTAAATAGTTTTGGTCAGCTCTTCTCAGTTGCAGAACTGATCGCATCCGGTTACGCCAGTCTCGTGAGCAGTGGATCTCTACCAACGGGTCCATTTAATATGCTGCCATTCTTCAATCCACGCCATGTTTGTTTTTGTTCCTTTATAAATCTTTTTGTTAATGTGTCTCTACGTTTCACAGTGTTTGGTCCAAATATTCCAATACTAAGACCTCGACAAGGTGGCTATCAAGGCGGTGTTCGTACAAAATATGAATCTTTATCAATCCCTCGAGATTACTACAGATCATCGAACCTACGTTCGAGGGTGGATATGGACGATGACGACGACGACGACGACGACAGTTATGATCATGACGATGATGATGATGATGATTATGCATCAATACGACATCGATACGACAGAACCACGCGAAAAACTTCAACATTGTCGATTCCCAATAAAATTGACCAAATTCAGAAGAAGTTAAAAGAATCTTTAACAAATATTGCGCACACATTTCAACAAGGAATCTGTGCTGATATGATTTTAAATGAAACTGTGCGTGAGAGATATATCTCAAAAACCTTAACCGGGCGCGTCCAACCTGTCGGAACATTTGACACAACTCAAATGGCTGTAGAATATTTATATGGTCTTCTATGTGCTATACCAAATCTACCGGAAAGAACTAACTTATACAAAACAGTGGATATCTTAGAATTAACATATGATCCAAAATTTTATCGAACTTCAGCCAAGTTTCAAGTCAATTTAACATCAAACAAGACACTAATCTTTTTCGCAATCATCGCGTTTGACGAAAATTTCAAATTATGTGGATACGAAGCTGTCATTCAGAACGTTGGTTTAACACTGGATTTTCCGATAGAACAAAGGACATCTATTATAAACAACATCTGTCAACTAGTACAAGTCATATGTCCTGTGGGCTCATCGAATCATCAGTATGCAAACTTAATTGACTGTCTTTCATTTCTTAATGAATCACAAACTCCATTCGGAACGTTTGATCGAGCTGATCAAAACAACGTTGTTTGTCGATTAAATCATATTCAATTAGCATCGATAAGTCCTGATATTCATTGTCTACATGTGGGAAAAACTGGTGGAGGTGCATGTGTAAACAAAACGTCCGAATCATATTTTCAAGGAACATCGGACTTCACAACTTGTGCCTATCAATTCCGAAAATAATGTCTTTTTGAGTTGTTTGGAAAAAAAATTCTTACAAACGAACTGATTTTTCTCACAGAAAATAAAAGAGATTATAATTACACGAAAGATGAAAGCAGAACGGTTAAAAGCGGTATAGATAATTATTGTTGACATACTTTGTCATAGTCCGTCAGATTAGAAATCATCTAAAGGATACTTTTCACTGGTAAGATTCAGCTGAACGGCAAGTATAAATAGATGAAAAGAAAAACTGTGATGTTAGTCTTCATTGAAGACAATAAAATTGATCGATAACAGAAACTATGAGCCAAAAACAAAAGAGTTTGAAGCAGCACATGTTGCTATAACACAACTTGTCTTTGACAAAAATTACTTTCAATTAAATATTTACTTAATCTTATCCGAAGGTTGTGAACTGAATATCCTGATGATTAATTCTTCTCAAAGTTAATGCTTCCACATTCAGAAAATCTATTGCAATTATTTCATTGCACTTTTATTCTTTCATCGTCAAGATAAGTCGCGACACTGTAGATTTGAAAAATTTACTCATGTCGTCGACTAGTCTGTTTACCGATCAAATCAATACAGCGACAACGACGATTGTATTTTGTGTTTTAGTAATTAATTTCCTCTTAGGTTCAATAAGTTTAGTATTGAACATTATTATCTTTACTAGACCGACACTTCGACGTCAACCGTGTGCAATTTATTTTCTTACGTCATCGTGTCTCAGTTTATTTGTTATTTATGTCATTTTGCCGGTGCGAATTGTTTCAAACAGTTTTAATGAAGATTTAGCGAATTATTATCTGTTTGTATGCAAAACTGAATTTTTTCTCTTTTTCTCCGTTCGAGCGACATCCTGTTGGGCGATTCTATTTGCGTGTATCGACCGATACTTTCACAGTTCATCCAATGTTAATCTACGTCGATTAAGTTCCATAAAAACCGCGAAAATCGCCATGATTCTTACAAGTCTCATTATTTCACTTTCGTATACTCATATGATTGTTTATTATACCATCAAACAAACAGTAAATCAATATGGAACGATAAGAGCAGTTTGCACGGACCAAAATGGAAATTATGCTACGTTCAGTGCATTCTGGCATATGATATTATATTCACTCGGGCCAACAATTTTCATGTTTTTATTCGGATATTTAACGTTGCGCAATCTTCGACAAGGTCGTCGATTAGTTCCAGCGATTAGAACTGAAAATCAACGAAACATTCGACGAACAGATAATCAATTATCGCGAATGTTAGCAAGTCAAGTATTTGTTATTGTTATTGCCACTTTACCATTTTCATTCTGTCGAATTTATGTTTCGCTAACGGAAAATATCCCGAAAGATACTTTGAGACTCGCACAGGAAAATCTGGCGATCAAAACTTTAGGCGCAATGACATATTTTACACATTCAACAACGTTTTATTTATACACTTTGACGGGAACCCTTTTTCGACGAGAATTAGCGAAAATTTGCCAGTTCAAATAAAAGCGTCGCATCATTCCAAAAGATTGACTGAGAAATCAAAAGATTATGGTATCAAAATGTCGCTGTGAACAATAGAACGAGTGCAAGATTTTGTTAAAAAAGAAACGATCGAATCTGTAAATAAAAACAGAAGTTTAATAAATAAGTTCGAATTGCGATCGAAATCGTCCTAGAGGATGACCAAATAAATAAAATGTCATTGACTGATACCGTGTTTCAATCTTTCATTTAAGCAAAAATCCATAGTTCGCTTGACCAGACATACGCATACCACTCATCAAATTTGTAACGTCGATGCCTGGGACTGTCACAACATTGACTGTTACCGTACTAGTGTTTCATGACATTATCACCTTTTCAATCCAGAGATCATTAAGATATTTTGTTTCAAATCCCATCCAATTCTCTGGATCGGTTGGATCATTGAGGACGCCAAACAACTTCAAACTGCTTGATTGTATACTTGTTATGTTCAATGCAATTTGATTTATTGCATCGAAATAAACCAAAACTTGAGTTACTCCGGTGCTAAAACCGCCAGCGTTGTTCGTCCTGGCATATACAAAAAAAACGTTCCTGATAATCCCAACCGACTACGTATCTGCATACCACGTGCACGTTTGAAACCAGATCAGATGAGCAGCAAGATTTTGTCTATTATTCAAAACTATGCATTGCGTTACCGAACAGTTTGATAAAGAACTGAATGTCGAATGAAGGTCATTGAAAGAACTAAATTCAACACTGAAATGATTTTTGCTACACGTGTATGGTGCTGATTGAGTTGTTGGATCTACTGACGAAGTGAAAATGTAGTTCTTCGCATGAAAATACTTCAACTAACCATGCTGATTACTTTAAATGATACCAGTGAAATTATTGGTAACAAATTCATCGTTTCAAGACAGACGACTGGAAAAGGAAATGTCAAATGAGGAATTTGGAAATCAATAAATATATTCCATTCATTTCACTATTTTTCTTGAGACGTTTCTATATCAACCATCGAACGTAAACACTTTCAAACGTATTATGATGAATAAAATGCAAAACTCCATGTGAATTCCAGCGGATTCGTTTGTTATAACGATGGACATAATGAGAAGCACAATTCAAAATGTGAAAGTGTCTCTGCTAGCATGAAATAGGATCGATACGTCCGACGTAAACTTTCCAGAAATAACCGGACGTGACACATCGATGTCATAAGTAAATTACTTTATTTTGAGTAGATTAATCCACTGGACTGGCCTCATTTATTCAACAATGATTTTGAATGCTGAAGAGAGTTTTCGTGACAAGCGGGACAATTAAGTGTAATAAGAAGATCAATCATTCATATAAATCAAATACTTTTAGTGCGCTATATATGTCAATCGTAATACTGTTTCAACTACTGAACAATCAACGATCAGACCGGAGTAAAGCTCCGCTGAATAGAACCATGACATATTGCAAACTATTCCGATATGTTGTACAAATAAACATCACTAGAAAAGCTTTCGCACATAAACATTGGAAAGTATTCACATATTATTTCTTATGAAGTTTTTCACACAATAAACAAAAAAAGTTGGACTGCTGAGAATGAAGCAGATTTTTATGTGTACACTGAGTCATATGTATCACATTAAAATGTCAATAGAAATGATCAAAACGAATGGTGAACAATTCGCAAATCAAATGTAGTTCGTATAATTAACTACAAACCATGAAGAAATTATGATAATGATTTGTACGCAGCGATAGCCGATAGATTAATTTTCTCCTAGAAAATTTATTTACTACCGACAAACAACATTTGCTGCGATATTTTACAACGCTTTACATATACATATGCTTCTTTTTCATTGAAATGGAAATGTATCAGTTCCTCATGAGATATCTCTGAAACACAACGAGAGAAAAACTAACAAATGATTATTTTCAATATAGACAACAAGATTAAAATCATGATAGGATATTATTTTCTGTTTATAGTGCACTCGTAAACAATTTGCTTCTCGAGTTCGTTCAGCGTAAAACTCTGATTGAATTCCAGTAATCATCAATTTTGACATGAAAGTATTCGGTTAAGTATGCGTGATGTACAATTTATATTTACATCGTAAATAAAAGTTTCATTGCCGTCAATCCTTCATTCAATCTCAATTTCATCTTCAAAGAATAATTTGATTTGATAGTCTTAAAAAAATTAAACAACAAAATCATTGAAAGAAAGGTCAAACAGATGCATATAAACTGAAATAAATCAAAAATGCCAATATATTTCGTCCTGCCATGAACGATTTCTCTATACATCGTCACGATTGACGACCGTTACCCTTCACTACTTTTCGCTTTCTTCCTCGTCTATTGTCGCCTAATGTTTTTTTTTCTTTCTTTCCTCTCTTTCCTTTCATTCTGATATAAGAGTTCATTGAAATATGTGAAAAGGGTGTGTGCTGGTCATATTCGTTTGTTTAATTGTCTTTCTCGAAAGTTGTTCGGTACAAAATGAAGTTCGGTGTTCATCTATTAGCAAATTTGACACCGGAATGGAATCGTCAGTATATTCAATATGAATATTTGAAAGATTTTCTTGACAAAGCGATACATCAGTCAGTGATTTTGAATGAAAAGTCACGATTAGAAGAATATTTTTGTCATGTTGATGAAGAATTTTTCCAAGTAATTTCATATCTTCATTGCGTGGCCATCGATATACACTTGTTTTGATCTAGTTTTGTGAAAAGGAAGTGACAAAGATCAATACATTTTTTGCTGAAAAGCTGGCAGAGTAAGTGAAATGATGAAATATTTGTTTGAATGATGAAAATGTTGTCCTTGTAGAGCAATGAGACGATTTACAACATTGAAAGATGAAATCGACTATCGAAAATTGATTTACGGAGAAAATTGTTCGAATGACAAATGTTCAGTTTCATTTATTCATAAAACTAATCGAATTGGTATTTCAAATGGTGAAGCAAAGTTGATGAAACAGATGAGTCGTTTCGTTCCTGATCGACTATTTCAAGATAAAAGAAGACTTTCAAGTGTCAAAACATTGAAATTGGCATTTAGTGAATACTATCTCATGTTAATTCTTTTACAAAAATATCAACTATTGAATTTCACAGGATTTGTGAAGATACTGAAAAAACACGATAAATTATTTCAAACAACGCGTGGTGAACAATTCAGGTTCGATCGAATTTTCACAGAAAAGTTTTGTAAAGAGAATCTCTGTTCTAGGAAATCTCATATTGAAACAGCAGCATTTTATACATCAACGAAAGTAACCGAGCTCATTCGTGATGTGGAAAAAATTTACACGAACGAACTTGAATCAGGAGATCGAACACGTGCGATGAAACGTCTTCGTGTCCCGCCATTAGAAGAAACACAATCAGCATCAGTGACATTTCGCCTAGGCATTTTCATCGGTAACGTCTCGCAGCATTGTACGGCCAAAGGTCAAAAGAAAAATATTTTGTTTTCTATAGGAATTCTCGGTGTTTTAATCCCGTTATTGATAATTTTAATCATCATCTTGAGAAAAAGTCAAAGTGGCGCAGTCGTACGTTGGCGCGATGGGTTTCATCTATATCGTTCATCATTTTTGATAATCCTTCAAATAATCTTAACTGGAATCAATGTTTATGGTTGGTCATCGTCAGGTGTCAATCATATTCTTATCTTCGAAATCGATCCGCGAAATCATCTAACATATCAACAACTACTCGAAATTGGAACATGTTTGTGCGTTCTTTGGTCATTTAGTTTTATCGCCTTTCTCATCACATCTTATTTGGACTATTATCCATTCGTTCATCCACTAATCTTCGTAATCTTTCTCTTCGTGTTCTTCTTCAATCCATTTCCAATACTTTATCATTCCGCACGTTGTTGGTTAATGAAAACCTTGGTGTTAGTCTTTACCGCTGCATTCCATCCGATACGTTTTGCGGATAATTGGCTTTGTAATCAATTGACATCACTCGAATTAGCGTTTTACGATTGCGAATATTATTTTTGTTTTTATTTTTCCAATTCCGACTGGTGGAAAACAAATTTAATTGCGTCATCATTACCCTCAGGAATCTTTTGTACAGGCTGGACAAAATTCCTTCTTCAAGCCTTTCTTCTCGCGATTCCATCATCGCTCCGTTTCACTCAATGCGTTCGTCGATATTATGACACAAAAGCAAAGTATCCTCATCTTCTTAACGCAGGTAAATACGCCATGGGCTTTACCGTTGCCATTACAAATTCGCTTCGACGCGCAAGTATGTCATTAAATGAAACTTATTCAACAAATCCGAAAACGAATCCATTTATTTACCTATGGATTATAACTGCACTGATTAATTCGACGTATAAATTGATCTGGGATGTGAAAATGGACTGGGGATTATTTCATAAGAATGCAGGGGAAAATCGATTTCTACGCGATCATATTATATACTCGTCGAAGAATTATTATTATTATGGAATTGTTCAAGATTTGTTTCTGAGATACTCGTGGACGATAAATATTTTCATACAATTCCATACGGAAGCAGCGGAGTATGCAGATGTGATTGGCTTTGTGTTTGGTTTGTTGGAATTGATTCGGAGATTTTCGTGGAATTTTTTTCGATTGGAAAATGAACATTTGAATAATTGTGGACGATATCGAGCGATTCGAGATATTTCGATAAAACCAATTTCAACAGATATCGATTTCATGGCAGTGAATCAGAAATCCAATATTCGATTTCGAAGAAAGAAAGACGAAAAGGAACTGATCAATGAAAATGAGGAAAATTTAAAGAAAGTTACGAAATAATTAATGTGTGACATGTTTTTGTGTAATATTTATGCGAAAAATAAAGTATCTTTTAAAATTTCATCTAAACATGAATCTTGATTCGTGAATTTTATTAGTATACATGAAAAGCTGATGAAACGTTAGACATCAGCTCTGATTGAATCACGTGATTGTGACTTCAACACTAGCTGTTCTATTTTTCAATCCAGACATACATGTTGGAGAAATATGTGGCATACTTTTTTTAAACTGGGTGGAATTATTTTGAGGACAATTTAAAAATTACTCACGTCAATTGTTTTGAAAACCAAACAGACATTCTAACGGTTGCTACTATGCGAAACAAACGAGTTGCTTACGTCAATGCTTTGAAAGCTTTCTTTTCGATAAACAACTTAGCGTTCACTCACTATCTGTCGTTCTGCAGTTCCTTATGTAAGGAATATAATGCAAAAATATACTTAATGCATTAATGTTATTGCACAAAGAAAAACATCTACGCATTCTGTTTAATGTTTTTTTAAATTTTTTCCTGCTCTCTGTACAAATTGAAATTCCAGTAGAAAAACAAGTCATTTTATTCAGAAGAAAATATATTTCTTTTGTCCTTTTGGCACAGATTTAAACATATATAAAGAGTGCTTTTCTACATTTCTAATTTATTTTATACTTCTCACTTAGTGTCTGAAAAATGACTCCTGATGGAATTCTTTTCATCAGTCTCTTCTTACACCTTCGACTAATTGATGCGTCACATTTTCGTGGTGGAACAATCACATCGTCAGTACTCATTATTTCATTTTGTTTCATTTCATCTTCGTTTCCTTTAGGCGTCCTTATAACAATACCCCATCGGGTAGTTCAGCTGATGTTATTGTGCGAGAGCGATGGTCATGGCGTCGAAGTGCATACTCTCCCAACTGTTCTCCTGCTACTATTGCTGCACAAAATCCAAAGATCGGTGATTCAAACACTCTCAGCTGTGTATCTGGAACTTGTGGTGGCTATTGGACTGGTATGCCTGTGCCAACATTTTGTACTGATTTCAGTGCTCCTCTGGATGTCGCCTCTGGTGAATACTATCAAACATACACAATACCACTCAATGTACAATTTAGTATTGCTTTTGCTTCTGGTGCTTGGTTTGGAAATCTCATCGTTGGAGGTAATGGAAACTGGGCTGTTGTTGGTCGAATCAGTACTGTTGTTCGACCTGATGGTTATCTCAACACAAGTCCTGTTGCTGTCAGTCTTCCTATTCTTTACAAAGAAGTTAACGTTCAACATGTGCATGTTGTTCAAATGTCTGATTTCGATGGCACTGACATCTTACAATGTCGATGGTCCGTTGGAGGAACATCAACCATCAATCAGTATAATGAATGTGCTGGTGTGTGCAATGGCATACCTGGTGCCAATCTCATTGGAGCGAACTGTACAATTGTGTTCACACTTGTGACACCTAGTTGGTATGTTGCCGCAGCATTGCAAATCGAAGATTTCTATAATGCTGCAGCATTGTCAGCGAACACTCCGATGACTTCGGTGCCACTTCAGTTTCTTTTCTATGGTTATCCAACACCCACTGGTTGCAGTACACCACCAGCTATCATTGGTAGTCGACCAAATCGAGGTAAGCAGTTCGAACTTCATCGGGAGATGTTGTTTATCTGTGTCTTCTTCAGCTTGTATTGGTGTACTGGTTGGTGACAATGTCACTGAATTGGTAATCATTCAGGTTTATTGTACTGGCAAGAGTATCATTGACTATGTATCGAGTGTACCTGTTGGTATGACAAAAAGTGCTATTCAGAATCCCAGTACTGGTAAGTTGAGAACTCGAATAGTTTGAGTTGAATGAGTTTGTCATGATTACTTTATAGGTATTTATCAAATTGTCCTGAGTTGGGTTCCTGTTGCCAGTCAGTATGGTCCACAAGCTGTTTGTGTGGGTGCAGTCGACAACACAAACATTCAGACGAATCAATGGTGCATCACTTTTTTGGTTGGTTTCAAATCACCCGATGTCATTCGACCGAAGATGGTCCAAGGTTCAGCTTCACCCATCGGTACAATCTTCCAGAATCACACCACTTTCTCTATTCAAAGTAACATCGAATTACAATTGGACGAGGGAGATCAACAGAAAAGTCTTTTGTTCTGTTTTTAGCATCGATCTCAGTCAATCGTCCAACTCGTAATGGCACAAATATTTACTTCTACTTTGCCAATGGCACTCTTGTTCAGAAATATGATTGTGGCTGGGAACCAGAAGTCACATACACAGGTTTCACCATTGTCATTCGTTTTCCTGTTGCACCATGGCAGCCTGGAGCTTTCTACTATGTCAACATGGACAGTGGTATGTTTCTCTTGATCTTTTCTTTCATGTTCTGTTTGTATTGATGTTTAGGTGTGGCTAGTGGAACTGAGTTTTGTGGTAAGTGATCACATTTCGAATACCAAAGAACGAATAAGAGAACTAACTCGAATTTAAGGTCCCGAATCCGCACCCATGACCGACCCTACATTCTGGGTGTTTAACATCTGGAATCCTGCACTCTCATCCACAACGACCACGACTACAACGCCCTTTACAACTGTCACAGTCACAACAAAACCAACATCGACAACAAGTATCAACACTCTCGTAAGACTCTCTCTTTTGTTCATTGTATCACATCTGAATATATTCCAAATAGTTAACAACAACTGGTATTGTTGTGACAACCACCAGTCCACCGACAACAACATCCACAGCTCCAACAACGGCGCCACCCACGACAGCTGGTATAATCTACTGCTTTCGTTGTTCATGCACAAAATCTGTTGTAATTTGTTTGTTTAGCACCAACGACAGCTGCTCCAACGTCACCTGGTTCGACAACTGAATCGACTGTTGCTGTTTTGTATCCGAAAGACTTTGTAAGTAACATTCATCATCATCATACATCTGTCTATGTAACATGAATAATAGGAAGATATGTCTTCAACCTATTGCTATTCTGACTGCAGCATTCTTTGCTGCAATGGTACCAGTTCAAGGTTTGGCTTTGTTTGCTACATTTACAAAATTGGCAAACACATTCAATCCATCAAAGATTGGTGCACAAGCACGACATCGACAACGAATGAAGCGAGTGATGAAAAAATAAATTTGAATACATACTATATGGACATTTTCTAAATGAGAATTTTTCGTTCTATTTAACTAACAACTTGAGAAGCTTTTCTGCGTGTGCGTGATTTCTTTTTAACGAATGATTTGAAACTGATTTGATAAATAAATACAATTTGAACATTTCAGTTTGTCCTTGAAGTATATACTAAACGAATTCTAGTAGAAACATTTAAAAAATATGTCGTCATTCGAACAAAAATGTTACATGATTATTGAAATAACACATCTCTTTGTTCCGCTTTACTTCAAATGCTTTCAACTAAAGTTGTTCTTTCAAAACAAAACGCCTCAGATAGTGGTAGCGAAGTAAATAAAAAAAAACATGTGATCAAACGAACTTTGAATAAAACCTGGCTGTGTACGTGCTGAAAAGAATTAACTTTTTCGGAACGGTCAACAATCTCGATCTTCATAAACTTGTTCCACACGATGATACTGTTTAGTCATTCTATTTTGATAAAAAATACATTCGTTTTAAGCTCTCTTACGTCAGAATATCTCCGCATGCCCCTTCATTGTACGTGAACATTATTCTCTACGAAAATAATCACGTCAGACCATTTTCGCAGTCGGATATTTACATCGTGCTTAGAAAAAAAAACGATCACTTTAATTTTGTGATTGAAATATGTCTGCCGCATATTTATTCATATTCATGATTTTATTTAAAAAGTTCGAATAGCAGTGTTTTGTCTATCATTCCGATGCAGAAAAGCTTGATTTCTATTGTTTTTATGTTCGGTTTCTCTACGAACAAGAAGACAGTCAGATGTTCAGTAAAATCCCCTATGATTAACTTCTTACTACCAGAGACTGATAGAAAAACAACAGAAATCAAGAATTCCATCGGATAATGTGTTTAATTCGTTAACACGTGCTGATTTATACTTATACCAACTTGGTATAACAACTGATCAGTTACTTGACTGATTCACACCGATTGATCTCGTTGAATAGTACGCCATGCAATTTAATGATGAAATGAAAGTCTCTCACAATTACTCGTCGAAATGGTTTGGACCTGTGTCAATACAGATTCGATGAAGAAGTTTTCTTGCCGTTCGACGAAATTTCCACACATCAAAAGAGAGCTTTCTAGAAACATTACCGGACTACTTTACTGGAACATGTTATTTATTCCTACCGAATTGTTCTTACAAACACTCATCAACCTGTCTCGGTTGGCATGAGATTTGCGATGAAAAAATTGATTGCATTAATGGTGAACACGAAAAAACTATCGATTAATGGAAGTCAACGAATGTCCCAGCGATATTTGTCGATGGTCTTATGGCGGATAGTGCATCCCATTAACATTTTTAAGACATAAACATAATTATTTCAATGTGAAGAACGTCAGAAACGAGTTCAATATGCTCGTCACTGTGACGACGAAGACTATCATTAGGATAATATTTTTATTGACTCGAAAATTTGTTCAAATGGTCGAGTGTTAAAATTTCAATTCTCGCGAAATGACTCATTTTCATATACTTTCGATAGAAACCGATTCGGTTTATCGTTGAAAGCCTCAAGACACTTCGATTCTCTTTATTCGATGATTTCATGCATGCGACATTTCGATTTCTATTCGCTGCGTTCTCTTCTGTTTCTCTCTAAATCTATTTTGTCCTGATTCTTTAAAAAACGAAATCTTCTTTCTATGTGCGGGCGGCGCCAAACCGTTTCCTTAGTTCCTCGGTTTCGTTGCCTTCCGATACATAATCATACTCGCATTTGACGACGATTTTATATCAATACTGTACTCCTAAATACTCGAATTGCGTTTTACATCGGTTGTAATATAGTAATTACAGTTTCATGAATGTAGATCATTTACGACACTAAAACACAAGCACCTATAACACAACTCTCTCCTATATTCGATGATTTTCATTTCGTCAATAAAAAGTTTATCTCGGATAAAGTAATTAAATACAAAGTAAACTGTCTATTTGCGTAGAAGTTGTTGTGGAATACGGCTTGGTGTGATTAAATAATCATTAGGACGATGCCGCGCTCGATTTGTATTGTTTTGAATTTCAGCTACATTTCTTTCTCTTATCGAGTCAATTTCGCCTGTCAGAGTAGACAAGTGACTCGCTGCATCAGACACCCATGCTCGTTTCGATGTCCAATCATTATGAGTATCATTTGATTGTGCTGCTATACGTTCCAGATTTGATTTTCGCTCATCGATCGTGCCGTTTAATTCAGTTTGTTTTCGACTATGTTCATCGAATGTTTTTTGTTTATCGGCTAACTGCTCAGATACATTTTTCAGTCGATCTTGAGCCGTTCGAAGTCGTTGTTGACTTTCATTAACCTGCCGTTCAGCAGCCTGCAAAACGAAAGGAATATATGAGAAAAACATTCAATTATGTTCATCACTGCTTACCTGCTTAGCATTCGTTTGTTCTTGTGCTTTTCTCTTCGTATCAGCAATAGCAGCGTTTTTTTCTTGCAAATCTCTGCCATTCTGTGCGACCTTTTCTTTCACTTGTTGAACTTGAGCTTTACGCTGATCAAGTTCCTGCTTCTTCTGGGAAAGTTCTTGTTGTTTCTGTTGCATTTTCCCCTCTGTATTTTTTATCTCAGCATCCTTTCGATTCATAGTTTCTTGTTGATTTTGTATTTGTCGCTGTACGTCCTGTTGTCGATTGATTGTCTGTTGCTTTCGCTGTTGAGCTGCATCAAGCTTGGATTTCGTCTGTTGTTCGTCGGATTTGAGTTTGTCACGGTTGCTCTGTTCAGTAGACCGTTGATTCTCTAGTTCTTTCTTTTCTCTATTCATTTCATCTTTTCTTGTTTTTGTCTGATTTAACTCAGATTCGACAGTTGCTATGCGCTCCTTAGCACTGGAGACAGTTGTCTGCTGTGCATTGATGTCGTTTTGCTTTTTCTCCACTTCTTGTTCTTTTTGTTTGACAGCAGATTCTGCTTCGCGACATGCTGCGTTTTTGGCATCTAGATCTGCTCGAGCTGCTGTAAGCTGACCTTCGGCTGCTTGCATCTTCTGGTTTGCTTCAGTTCTCGTCTGTTCCGCCCTGGTTAGACTCTGTTGGGCATTGTTAAGTTGATCTTTTACTGTTTGCAATTCTCCATTGAGCGTTTGCACCCGTTCTGCTTGTTTTTGTACTTGAGCTCGATGATCGTTGACATCATTCGTTTTAGCCATCTGTTCATCCTTAGCAGTTGCAAGTTTTTGAGTAAGGTCATTGTGTTTAGTTGTCAGATCTTGGACAGTTCCTTGTTGTTTTTCTACCTGTTGTCTAGCGTTATTTTTAACTTCGATTTGTTGCCTCAGTTCATTGCGCTTCGTTTCCAACTCGGTTTTCTTCGTAGCGAGATTTGCCTTGGCAGCATTGTTTCTGGAAATAGCTGCTTGATGCGAAGCGTTCGCTCTTTCTCGTCTGGCAATGGCATCGGATTTGTTGCGTTGCTTGTCACCGAGCGAGGATCGAGCTTGTGACACGGCTGCTTCACACGCTGAAACATCTGATTTGGCGTTATTACCGATCTTCAAAGTGTCGAGAACTGATTGTGCTTCAGCAGCTATCTGAGCCGCACGAAGCACTGCTTCAGCTTTTTGTAAAATTCTTTCGGCATCTTCGATTTGCTTTTGAGCATTTTCCTCTTCGCGCACAGCTTCGTCATGTTCTCGTTTGGTTTGATTTTCCTCTTGTTCGGCTTGATCAGCTTCATTTTGCGCTTCGTTCAACGCACGCTCACCATCTTCGACTTCCTTTTGCTTCTGAACTTCCAATTCTTCTTCTTTTCGAAGTGTTTCGATGTATTCATTCAACTGTTGATTGGCAGCATCAAGTTCTGCTTTGCAATTTTGAACTTCTTGTTCGAGTCGTTGTGTATTTTCGACCAGCCGTTCAAGTTCCTTTTCTTTCTCAGCGAGTAATTGATCGAGTCGATTCTTTTCATTTGTCGCTTCGTCGAATTCTTGTTGCTTAGCCTGAAGATCTTGTGTAATCTTGTCGACTTCTTCTTTCGCACGATTGACTTCCTGTTCTGCTTGCTCAAGGTTTGCTCTAGAAAATGAAGCGAAATAAACCAGCTTTAATTTTGATTATATGAAGATTTCTCACTTGGCTTGATTGAGCTCCTGTTCAGCTTGCTGCACTTTCGCTTCACATTCAGCTACTTGCCTTTGAGCTTCCGCGAGTTTCTCCTGTTGATTTGCCAATTCAGCTTTGGCTGTTTCTAGTTCTTTCTCTAATGCCCGAAGCCTTTGTTCGGCTTCTTGTAGCTCTCTTTCGGCTGCTTGTTTTTCTTCTGTCTTCTGTTGAATTTGTTGTTCGATTTCTCTCAACTGTGCTTCCTTTTCAGCAATCTGTTGCTCGATTTGTTGAATCTTTTCTTGAATGCGAGCTACTTCTGTTTCGATCTGTTGCAAACGAGCTATTTGTTCGGCGATTTCTTGCTCGATTCGCGCAGTTTCTTCTTGCAACTGTTGAAGTTGTTGATTGAGTTGTTGGATTGTCTGTTGGAGTTGAGCGACTTCTTCACGAAGTCTATTGAGCTGCTGCTCGAGTTGTGCTTGTTCAGACTCGAGTTTTGCAATTTGCTGATTGACTTCCTGTTCTTCTTTCTCTGCAGTGCGCAATGCTTCGGCGAGTTCTTGTCGTTGTTGTTCGATAGTTCGTTTTTCATTTTCGAGCACTTGCATTCGATTTTCGATTTCGCGTAACTTCATCTTTTCCTGTTCGAGTGCTTGTTCATGTTGAGCAAGAGCCGCTTGAAGTTGATCACGCTCAGCAATAAGCCGTTGTTCAGCGTCGTGTAACTTTTGCAGTTCTTCTTGAAGTCGCTGAACTTTTTGTGTTAGTTGTTGCATTTCTTTCATCAGTTCATTCAGTTCCTGTTCAGCTGTTTCCTGTTCTTCACGGAGCTCCTGGATCTTTCGGTCAAGCTCTTCGATTTCTTTCTCAGCATCGCGAATATTTTGGTGTAATTCACGTACTTCTTCTTGAATGTCTCGTAATCGCTGCAGATCAGCTGTGTTGATGAATTGATCGGCTTCCTGTTCTTGTGCTGCCTGTGGTAAATTGTCGTCGGCAGCACTGTCCAATGCAGCCGATGCTGATGTCTATAACGAAGAATTCGTTTTGTAAAAACTGCTCAAAAACATATAACGCGCAGTGAACAAATCGTGATAGATCTCTACCAAGCTTAGTAAATGTTAAGGAATGAGTTGGTAGTTAACCTCGATCAACGAAATTTGATCTTAGGATTTGTTGATAGATGTTAGATTGACAAGGTCGTACCTTTATCTTCTTCACTCAACTTGCAATTGACGAGTGGTTCCTTCTCAAATTTCGTTTTAAGACTACGTGAATAACTCTCTCTCTCTCTCTCTCTCTCTCTCTCTCTCTCTCCGCGAGTTAAACGAAATGAGCAGTGCGATCATTATCCGTCAACACATTTCGACAATATACCGTCCGCTGAATCTTGAAGAAAAATACTCTACTTTCGATCCGAACGAAAAGACTCCGCTCATCAGAAGCAACGAGAAAGCAATTGATATACAAATGATGCTTACCTTTATCTCTTGAGTTGGAGGTTTGTTATGCGATGCTAGCGATGTGGCAGTCAAGCTGGCAGGAAGCTTACCAAATATACCACTGGCTGCTTGTCCTGCAACGAATTCTCCTGCCTTCTTTTTCAACCCTTGAACTCCTGCCTCCTTCAGTGCCTCTTTGGCAGCTATTGATCCAGTTTTACCTGCACCACCTCCAATTGCTGAAAATCCCATATCAGTTATAAATCGTTTGGCAGACACATCACCAACTTCTTTTCGCACTTCTGGATCTTTTATATGTCCACTAATTCCGTGTTCAGCACCAATACCAATTGCACTGGCAGCAGCACCTCCTGCCATCGCTCCAGCAGGTCCACCCACCAGTCCTCCGGCTACAGTTCCAATGGTAGTAATTGTAGAATTAGTTGCGCTAGCAGCTGCTCGCTTTGCTTGGTCATGATTACCAGCTATACCATGAATAGCTGCCACACCGTAACCTACAACGGGAATTTTTTCGAAAAATTTTGTAACCTTTCCATCCTTGCCGAATGCGCCACCCATGATATTTTACAGCAAACTAGAAAATGGAGTTCACCTGTATAATAAGTACGAGTATATTTGAAAAATGTTCATACCAATTCAATGATAGATGATAATTTTGTTGCGAATGTCTTTCAAAAATATCTGTAAATACAAATACCTATTTGAATAGAAAATTGCACACGTCATAGATTTCACAACTCAGCCATGAGTTGTCTAATTCGACTTATATTATAAGTCCACATCCGACAGGCTAATATCAATTCGAATATAATTATATGTTTATAACAGTATTACAATAAACAATTAGATAGGAATACAAAAAGATTTAGTTTGACTTATACCTATACACCCCCACACTCCTGTGAGTTTAGGACTAAATAGGAATAGGAATAGGTTTAGTTTCACTTATACCTATACAGCCCCACCCTCACCCTCACACCCTTTTTTGGTGAAAATCTACGAAGATCGCACCTTTTCAACTTTCCTATGCCCGAAACACTACATAGAAATGTCGCAGAGTCGAGTAACACGCCATTCGACGTAGAATTTTTTTCTCTTTCAGATGACTGTATTTAGATTTTTTTTGTCGACGTTTTTTACGTGCTGAAAAAGACGGATCCAGGATTTAAAAACAATTGAAAAAACAATTTTATGTGGATTTTTGACACATAACGCGTTTGATAGAGAATTTCATGGGCTATCCAAATCACTATTTGAATTTCGTCCAGCTATTATCTTGATTGAAAAAAACTCAAAAATAGGATGCCGTAAACTTTCCCCCCAGCAGTGTAGAAATTGTTCACTTAATTCGAGTATCAAACCTTCTTCGAGTTTCCGACTTGTACATGTATGACTTTATTCTCAAGTTGATGATCAACTAAATGTGAGATGGCCACTTAATTTGTTAGCAACGAGTTGTGAAGAAGAAACTTGTTCGTCTTTCGCGTCGAAATTGTATCGAGTGAAGAAAAATGTATCGATTGGCAAAAAAGACATTACCTTTTTCTAAAATCCAGTCAATATAAAATGCCTCCTCGTTCGTCGATCTGTTATACTATTTTATATATACAGAGAAAAACCTATTTTCTCCACTCTGTGCTACATATAATGGGAATGATGACTAAATTATTGCTCATTTTCGTGTGAAAAGGTGTGTGGCAGAGATGGGCAAGTCAAGTCATTTTTGACTTGAATCAAGTCAAGTCAAGTCAAGTCAGACTTGACTTTGACTTGACTTGAAGCTTTTGACAACAATTTGTGACTTGACTTGACTTGACTTGAAAAATCTTGGACTTGACTTGAATTAGATTACAAATTCAAGTCAAGTCAAACAACATATATGTAGAGGTTTTACTGAGTATTTGTACCTCTATTTTCTCGTTGCAGAACTGAAAAGAAAAGATTTTAAATGCAAGTTTTTATGAGAAATAAAGGTGAAATGGCAAGAGAATCATATATCAAAATCTTGATTGAAAAAAAATTTCCTCGTTGTGTATTGGTCAACTCGATTTCCAATGATTTACCCATTAATATCGAAATTCTTTGTGATTTTTCCCTTGTCTGAATTTTGTTAGTAAAGTACATATTCGATTTGAAAAGAGTAGTTAAAACATTATGAACTTACAATCTAGTTCTGTTGATACGCCTTCATCAAGTGATGAAGTTGAAATACAAGAACAAGAGTCAACCATGAATGCAACAACTATTTCTCAATGTTTATTGTCAAATTCAAAATTACGAAAAACTGCTCGTGATCAATTCTTTGACGATCTTCAACGTGAAGAACATAAGAATAGATGGTCTGCAAAATGCTTGTTATGCAAATCGAATAAAAGAGTTATGGACAAGATAGGAGTTACTTCAAACTTTACTCGACATGTTCGACAATATCATCAAGAAGAATATGAAGAATGGGCACATCAGTCTGAAAGAACACGTTCAGTCTCACAAGGTAACAAAATTACCAACTATTGTTCAAGAAAAACTGGTTCACCTGATCGTGCATCATATGGCCCAAATCATTCTCGACAAGTTGAATTATCTATGGCTATTGTGAATGATTTAATTATTAGTTTAGGTTTACCACTATCAATTGTGGAAAGAACAACGTTCATTAATTTTATGAAAAAAGTGGATCCAAAATTTACCATAGAAAGTCGACGAACTATAACTCGAAAAACAATTCCAAGTTTATACGACAAAATGAACGATCATTTAATGAAGTTCTGCTCAACAGCTACTTTCTTATCTTTGGCATTGGACGTATGGACTGATAGAAGAATGAGATCGTTCTTTGCTATAACAGGTATGAATATTTTTGAAAAGCTTGCCCCAACACTAGATTTTCGTTTTATAGCTCATACAATCATCAACAGTAGCTTTAAAACGTACGTGCTATGTTTTGTGCCGTTATGGGGCAGTCATTCTGGTTCATTACTATTAGAAAAATATGAAGAAATTATCAATAAATTTGGAATCAAGAATAAAGTTGTTCGTTTAGTAACAGACAATGCAGCGAATAATATCAAAGCATTTGAAAATATTATTATTCCCGGTTTTGAAAAATACTTCGTTGAAGATAATGATGATTATGAAGAAGAAGATGGAAATGATAGTGATGCAGGTAATGATGGTACAGTAAGTGATGAATATGATTATCCATGTGATAAATTATTAACAACACACATGTCAACGACTGCTGACTTTACATCTGAAGATCTTATTCAAGAATCAATTAATCGATTAATGGAATACAGCGAAGTATTTAGAATTCCTTGTTTTGCACACACGATCCAGCTGGTCGTGAGGGATGGCTTGAAGGAAGCGAACGCGATTGTGGGTGCATTGGAGAAAGTTTCTGCTATTGCTAAACTTGCTCACACATCTACAAAATTTGGTGAAAAATTGGAGTTGATGAAAAAGTCAATTCCTCGTGCTGTTATTACACGATGGAACTCCCAGTTCATGACTGTTGATCGAGTTCTTAATATACCATCTATTGAATTAAATGATGTATTAATTCAATTGAAATATAAACATCTATGCTTGAATACACGTGATTTAACAATGTTACGAGAATTTGTTGATTTATTATCGTTATTTGCTCAAGTGACAACTGAAACCCAAAGTCAAAATTGTCCATCAATATCATTTGTTGCACCAAGTGTCTTAGCTATTTATTTCGATTTAATCAATGAGAAAAACAGTTTACAATATACCACACCATTATGCGATGCTTTATTGAGTTCATTAATGTCACGGCTTGGTGGTTTACTCGAAGAAATGGAAATTAATCCTGCTGATCTAAACATTAATTTTCGAAAAAATGACAAGTTCTACAATGTTTATAAAGATCCAGTTTTCCTTTTCTCACCATTTCTCGATGGAAAGTTTAAAATTCGTTGGATCACTCAATCTTTACTTGGTGATTCAACAAAAGAACGATTATGCGAGAAAATTAAGAAGCTGATATTTGATCATTGCTTACTTATGGTTCACAATACCGAATCTCTTGTTACAAATGATACACAGCCAAAAGATAAACAACAAGAGGTTGTGGATACCTCGTCATCAAGTCCGGCTGTGAAGAAAAGAAAGAATTTATTTGAAAATATTGAACATGATCTTAAAAATGCCAAAAAGCCAAAGCCGGTGGATTCGTATAATTATATTGAACAAGAAATATCAAGATACATCGATGATCACAATAATGATAGTATGATTTTGATAAATCCTACAACATCAATTTTCTATAAAACTTTGGCCAAATTAGCCAACAAATATTTATGTATACCTGCAACTTCAGCTGCAGTAGAACGAACTTTTTCTCAAAGTGGATTTTTATTGCGTCCTCATCGTGCACGAATGTCACGCAAGACTCTCGAACAGCTCACTTTGTTGAAATGTAATTTTGACATGTTATGACGTGTTTTGTTGTACGACGCAACGTTTTTATTGTTTTGTGTGAACTGTACTCAAGATGTTTGTGAACAGAATTGTTTGTTTTTATTTTTCAGTGGCGTTCTTTTTTTTTCTGTGATGAAAATTTAGTCATAATTTTCTTATACTCTTCTAAAGGACATTTGTGAACTGTTATCTTAGATCATGATTTCTGAAAAAATACAATTCTTAGAAGATGAATTATATTGATTATGAAAAAATATAATCTGACTTAGCAAATTAACGATTTGCTTGACTTGACTTGACTTGAAAAATCAACGACTTGACTTGACTTGACTTGAAAATTTTGTTAATAATCTTTGACTTGACTTGACTTGAAAATTTTGTTAATAATCTTTGACTTGACTTGACTTGACTCGAGTTCCATGAAAAATGACTTGACTTGACTTGACTTGCCAAAATGCCTGACTTGCCCATCTCTGGATAAAATATTTGACTATATCATTTACGTGAAAAAACTTGATACGTTTACAAAATCAACGTATAAGCGATGGATTTTTCAACTGGAAGAAAGATTTCAGTGAGGTTAAAAAAGTAGATATTCGTGATCAGCGTGTACAACTGGATCGAATGATGTAAAAAAAATTGAAAAAAAAACTTCACTCGAAGTTTGAATTGCCTGCACCTTACATAATCATTATAAACTAAACAACTCTATTCTAAAATTAACTGATGATAATTGACAGATTGCCTTTGACCAATGATCGCTACGCTTCAATTCATTTCTCCTTATAATTATCGTGAAAAACCTAACTTCGAGATTATACTTATTCATTATCATTTTGCTCCCATGTGTAAGCTATAACGATATCATAATAACCAAAGGGGAATTTGCCATAATAAATCGAACATTGATAGAAAATGTCAGTAAACATATATTCTCATGGTAAATTTTACATCATGGAGAAACGTTAGTTAAATGTGTACTCAAAGCACATATATAAAAATCACAATGATCATACTTATTTCGATCACTCTCGCCCTATTCTATTAAATCATAGTAAGCAACAAGAATAAATGAGCGCAATTCACAACTGAATACTATCAAGCAAGCTGATTTACCTCGAGTAAGCTCGTCAAATATTCTAAATATTAAAAAACAGTCTAAACTAAAAAATATTAAGAATTTGATCGAAAGAAAAAGAAAACGAACTCATATTGTATACTCTGATATACATAGATAGGTAATTCTTTTGAATATTCATAGCAAATGGAGTATTTATTGATTCAACCGCCAGATTTTCTCACTCACACCCTCAGCAAATAGAGCACAGAATTTATTTCATCGTCGTCTTGAGTACGATAAATATCAAAACGATCTCTGACACAGAAAGATATCAGTCTTCAGAGCAAGCCTTATTTCTGACAATTACTAACGATCATTTTGAATGTCAAGGCCAACCCGATAGACGGCAAATTATGTGCGAGATGAAGTAGACTTGTTTTACTTATTTAAACTATTTTAGATTTCGAATTTGATGTTAAAAGATTACCAAAATATAGTTAATCATTATTTATAAATAGGAATTTTTACTAAGTTGTAGATGATTGTTATTTGTCCTACCTGAATAAATCAATTTTATACATCAGTCCGTAATCGATTCTTTGATTACTTCTATTCGCTGACTATTTGAATAGTATAAGTAGTTCTACGATAGAACGAGAAAGAGAACGAAGAAATAATAAGTCGTTTTCTTTTTCAATTATATTTAAATACAGACTATCATTCATACGTATTAACTAATCATACAACTAACTGTCAACAGTGTCATCAATTGTAAAAAAAAGTGTTAACATAAAAAATAAAATCGTCTAGATTTTCTTTCAATCAATGAGTAACATCATCATCATCATCATCATTTGTATTTGTATGGCATAATCCAAAGTATTCAATTTGGATAAATGTTCTCGTTTGGCAACGTTCGTAATGTAATTGGCATCTATTGATATATTGTCGTTTATTATCACCACAGAATAACTCAAATGGACACGACTTCATTGTTTCATTGAGTTGACAATTAATACAAACAGGATAATGATATTTATCTTGTGTTTGAACGCACGTTTGATTCGCTTGACATAGTCTCTTTTGACAGTGACGATTCAATCGACAAGGTCCACGATAAGCCAACTGTCGTGGTTGATTCAATACTATCGAATTCGATAGATGACATTGATTAACAAATGTTTTACCATAGGTGTCACAAACAGGCGAAAAACCGGTACAATTTCGTTGACGTGGTATGCAGTGTGGTTTGGGAGTCATAATACAAATTTCATTATCCGAAAAACAACGTGATACTAACGAACAGTTGTTTACACATGACCCGAAATAATCGATTTCGACATCTTCTATAGCGAGTTGTTTAGTGCATAATTCGAATAAGATTTCGCATATATTTGCATACGTAAAACCTGTTTTTAAACACAGAGGACCGAGGTAATCGGACTGAAGGATATGACATTGAAGATTCGAACAGTTGAGTGAATATTGTTGGGAAATATTGTATAGTTGCTCGATTAGAGATGGCAAATTAGAGCGTATTTTTGGACGATAAGTATTATTTTGAATTGGATTGCAATGAGATCGATTGAAAAGATCAATTGGAGCTCGGGTAACGACATGTCGAGACTGCCAATGGGACATTGTAGAAGTTTGAAATGTTGTTCGATTTGTCACTGGTGGGGGTGAAACGGGAATGGAAACATTGTTTGTCAACATAGGTGGAGGTGTAATTGAAATCTAAATGAAAAATAGTTCAAAATTGAACTGTTACATAAGGAAATATTTCACTTACTGTACTATTAAGTTCTCTCTTTAAACGAGTACTAATTGTTGTATATTTGGACTTCATAAATTGTTGATTCGTTCGTCTCGTCGATGGATATTCTATGAATTGATTTGTCGAGCTTTGAAATCGATTTGTCCAAGATTGAAAAATACTTTCTCGTCCGTAAAATGCTTTACAATAATGTTCGGTAATGCCATCCTCCATTCGACATATTTGCTTTGTTCGCATTCGATCGATAACTAATGGTAATGAACATGAACCACACAGTGGAGCGTGTTGCCAAGGAATGAATTTTCCTCCTCGGTTCCAATCCATACAACCGGAATTGGAACTAATATGAAAAAGAATGTATTTGTCATCACGTGTTGCATATTTTAACCATTCGTATTCACACCGATGACAATCATCATTGACTTTTAAGAGAAAGTCTTGTAGATAAGAAAATGAACGCATGTAAGAGTAATTCAGTGGTTGATGAAATGACGAGTAATTCAAACGTAAGATATGTAAATTAGGAAATTTGTCGTGAAGAATATTTTCGTTTCCTAGATCAGTATGATCAAGAATGAGAACGTGAAGACGCTTCATAATCGTGCAGGATGAACTGTTGAAAAACGTGTCCAACCTTGGAGAGAAATGTGTTAAATGAAGATACAGTAGATGATTAGCTAAACTATTCAACGGACACAATGTTTTCGTCTGGAGTGTTGTACGATGGAAAATTAAAAATTCCAGTTTACGAAAGACTTTTAAATACAACTTTAAATTGAAATTTTTTATATATGAATCAGTTATTTCCAGTGCAGTGATGTCATTGGAATACTTGAGTAAATAGGGATAAATTGTTGCAAGATTATCGACATAACGACAGGTAATCATTCGATAAAACTTCAATGTAAATTGTTTGCCACCGAGACGAATGCTACATTCAGTTGTTGAACCTAGTAATGTTCGGTTAATCAAACGTGTTGAACGCGTTTCTGTATGATAGAATATGGAATTTGAAGTAATTAAAGGAAATAATAAACTGATGACGAGAACGAATGATGAGAGATTCATGATGAGAATGTTTATGAATGAAGTGATGAATCAAAACAAAGATCAAATCTCAACAGACATTTGTTTCTTCTTTTGCCGTTCTTTTCAACAGTTGTCTATAGAAAAATATTTCAACCGATCCGATTACCTAACTCTTCAAGTGAAAATTACGAAACGTACATGAATAGAAAAAGCAGGCGGTTAATTAAATTTTCGATTTCGTCAATAAACAAAATAGAAAGAAGAGATAAACGAAAGGAGAATTTCGACTAGCATGCGAAAACGAACGCTTTGTCGAGCCGATATGTGTGAAATTCGTTCGTTTGGCAATGATCAATTTCGATGCTTTTCTTCGTTGATCATATCCATGTCGAGCATACTTTTGCACGTGCAAAGTTAATTTCATATTTTTCGTATAACACAGTCCATTCGAACGTTGATCGAGACCGTCAAGTTCTCCCGATGATGTCGAGATGAAATAATAATAATGTTCATCTTCGAATTCTGGAAGATTCGGATAGGGTAAATAATTCGACACAGATAATGTGTAAATCAATCGTTGGGTATCAAATGGTTTATTACATTTGATTAATGGGTGATGATTGGTAGTATTACAATGATAGTAATCGTTTTCATCGACGAGATAAAGTGTATTGTATTCAATAGGCTGATCGAAATTTTCATTCTCATAATAAGGACAAACAAAATCAAGGAGATCGCCGAGATATACAGGCAAGTATCCTGAAGAATGGAAGAATCGATTCGAAGAGTTCCAGTAGATTTGTAAATGTTGTCGACGATGATTTGAAAGACAAATAATTGACATAGAGAAAATGATCAAGGAGATAAATACAGATATTAATGACATGTGAAGTAATGAGACATCGATTAATGTCAGTATCTGAATAAAAAGAAGAAGAAGAAGAAGAAAAAATGATGTTGATCGAGATGAAAGTCATATTTACATATGCACGGCTTAGGAATTATATAATCATGACAAGAAGGAAAAAAAGAAAGAATCGAAAGAGAAATTCTAACGTTTATCATAGAATAAACAGTATAGTGCGTGTTTAATAGACTTGCATTCTTCTTGCATGCTTAGTTGATGAAGGTATGCATATGTATATATGTGATCATTCGTCAATTCAAGGACATGTTATATTGATTGATTCGTTGATGGAATTGATGTTACCTTGAATGAACAAGTGCTTTTGTATTTTCATTAATTTCATTAGTCTGCATTGCTGTTAAATGTAATTCGAATATAAGATTAGTTCGACTGAACGAACATTCAAGTTTTCGTAAGCTATATTAGTAGAGTACGAGAGATTCAGTTTCTTTTTTTTATTCTCTTTAATAACAATGTACTTCTTTTCGGGATGCATTGTGCAATGATACGTGAAATATGTTTAACTTACGTTCGCTCTTTTCTCAATACTTTTCAGTTTTTCAACTTTGAAAAACATTTACGAGCTTTTATCTCAAGTTTTCCTGATATTACAAAAGATCCTGTCACCATCGAATCATTTTCGAGTTCAATTATCGTTGAAAGACAAAAGGGGAGGAATGAAAGGTTTTGTACTTCTATGTTGAAGTGGAGAAAAAGAAAGTAACTTTTATGTGCTCACTCATTCACAATGATGTTCACTCGTTTTATATTCTAAGCTTCATCAGTATTCACATTATTGAACGGATTCACGCATCAGCTCTTTATTTATGTAATCTTTTTACTATTATGTCAGTTCGTTTAGTTTCGAGTTTACCAATAAATTATTCTTCTTTACATTCTTTTCAAAAGACAATAACAACAAAACGAGTTTGTTTTACTTTCAGATACGTGAATGAATACAAACAGCGGTCAGAACATTAATTTAGCAGATCGATTAAATCGACGACGTCAAAGACGTATCGAAAACGGTTTAGGCAAAAGTTCTGAAAGTTTAGACATAACTATGATAAAGAATAACTCAACAGTATCACGGTCACCTGAACGAACACCAAGCAAGCAAACAAATCACTCAGTAACATTAAAGTCATCAGCAAAGATAAAAAGGCAGGAGACATTGCCGGCGGATGATATGGATAAGAAACAAAATCCTGAAATAACTGAGAAAAAAGTTCATCCTACGCTTGCAAAAGAACAAGCCATTAAAAGTCACTCGATGGAAGCGGTTATTGAAAGAGAAAAACCAGCTCAAACATTGCACACAGTGAAAAAACAAACATCTTCATTTGATCAAATAGTTTCGTCAACCACTTCTACTGAAACCAGCGAACGAACCGAGCCTGTACAACAAGAAACCATTCAACACAATCTACCTCCGATAATCTCTCCTCGAAAGACCAAATTACATCAATCAGACGAATCAATAATTGATAAAAGTTCATCTTCTCATCCCGATAAAGAACCTTGTTTACCCAAACTACCACCTATAATCATTCCTCGTAGTTCTCACATATCGAATCCATTTCAAGCAAACAATCGCGAACATCCTATTCCAGCCTGCATCAACGATTTTTCGCAATCATCGCTAGATTATCCAGCAAGTGACCCACCAAATACAACGGAGAGCGGTCAAATCTCTTTTGATTTTCTCTCGACATCTTCTCTATCTAAGGCACGTTCAATGTCCGAACAAATCGTATCCAAAAGTGAACATCGGATTGCAACAACTCATGCACGATTCGTAAAACAGAATTCTCTGGCACTCTCTTATGTATTTAGCAAGCACATAATTAACACTGAATTTACCAGAACATCGTCGCTCAATTCAGAGCAAGTTGAACTCAAAACTGTTTGGGATTGAAGCGAAGACAGTTCACTTCTTTTCTTTTATTGCACACGTTCATTTCTATAAGTATATATTTTTTCATTAATAAACTGTAATGTCAACAAAGAAGATACCCGATACAATTTCTTTTTTTCATTTGATAATCACGCTGACGTTCACAATCGTTTCATTTGTTGTTCTATAAAATTAATAATTTATTCACAACTTCATCGTGCCAATATTTACTTTCGAATCCACTGAAGTCGTTCTATCAAATATTTGATTTTAGGTTCAAATAATTTAACCTTCTAAAACTTACTCCATATTCGTAACGGTCACAATTGCTCCACTATCAGAATTCTCTTCTGTTTTACGAATCACAGTCAGATGATGAATTGTATACAGGTAATCATAAATTCGTAGTCTATCATAAACGATCGTACTTTCCAGATCAGTATCTATGCCAACGAACAAATCACATATAAAACATTAAGTTCGTTACTCAGTACTTCGAACAATCAAATTAAGAGTATATTTTCCCATTCCCAGTTGGTTTCTTGCTGTACATGTAACATTATCATAATTTGCATATATAACATGCAGCCAACAGCATCGCTTCGAACACCAAATGAATGTTGTGTTTTCCGATGGAATATTCATTGACCATGTGTAGATTGGATAAGGTACACCATCTAAATGGCAACATACTAGATATTTTGAGTTAAAATCCACAGTGAGAGTATGGTCATAGATCCCATCAGGTGATTTTGGAGGATCTAAACGGCAATATTATATTTTTGTCCTAGAAGCCGCATCTAAACGTACGAATAATGGTTAAAATAATTCTTTTGTAAATTATCTTTTCTGTTCGACATATATACATTCCCGAATCGCTAATATCAACCGATCTGATTTTCATGTCTTTCTCATAAATTGTTGGAAGAGTTTTCATTAGATAATAATTGTATGAAAGATAAGACCATTGAACCGCTAATGTTACATTCGTTGGACAATGGAAATAAACCGAATCACCTAAAAGCTCAGATTGTTCTAATTAGACAAAAGATCGATACTTTCCAAGTACCTTGAAAAGCAATTTGATAGACATCGCGTTCATTACTATCCATATCCAGATACTCATTCTTTTTCAGATCATTATCTAACAATACTGAATGGTTCAAATCTAGAATAAATCTTTGCAGAAATGGTCATTGATGACATGTTGCTAAACTACTTTTCTTAATTAATATCTGTACTCGTACTCCGACGCATGTTGTATCAAGATACAATTTACAGAATAAATGCGTCGTACTACGAATATGTTTTACTAATATAGCACTTCGATTATATCGAATGGTTTGTTCAGTATCAATCAATTCAATGAACTCTTCGTTAAATCCATAGTTGAAATATACTGGTCGACAAACTGTTAACAAATCATCATCAAATACTGTCAGTTGCGTCCAATTACGGGAAATTGACTGTGCACCTATCATGGAGAGATTCAAAACCTTCAATCATCCATCGATGAACCTCAGAATTACCATTGGAAAAGATAAACATACTACGAAACATCGATACATCATCGGTCACATAACACTGATAGAAACCATCACGATTTTTATCGAATTCATTCAGACGTATTAGTTTATCGTTAATTATTTCGATTTTACCATTGATCAAGTATACTTTCCAATGAACAGTATGTTTTGAATTACACTCTAACAAGTATGACTTGTCTAATGGAATGAAGAGAGAAGGTGGAAATTGTGATCCATTAAGGAGTAATTCATCATCGATACCTGTGAAGAGAGATTATTAATTAGTTTAAAGAAGTTGAACTCACCTTTTACAACAAGGATTGTTGTAAAGAGATAAACAAAGATGAGAATCATTTTCAATTAATATTCGTGTAATGCGCAAAATCATTGTAACTATAACAAAAGCTCACATTTGAAATGTTGTTCTCTTTAAAGCAAAAGAATCAATGAGCGATGAGTATATGGGTGTTTAGATCCGAAATACAGTAATTTTGAGTCAATATAGAAAAAGGAATATGTATCTGTTATTTTTCTTTAGTTTTTAGAGTCATTCTTGAATAACAGACGCGTTACATGAAGGATTTTTGTTTCATTTTTGGATTATACAACATTTCTCGTATTGATTTTATGTGTGTCTAACAACGTTTTCATATGTAAAATTGAAATCAAATATTGAGTAAAATGACGATATAAATTGAAAAACCTTCCATGCATGTGCTGTCAAAATGTGAGCTTATTTATTTGTAAAATTTGTTTCATTGTTTTATAAAAGGAAGTGCTTCTTTAATCATTAGACCAATTACTTTTTTTGTAGGTTATGAATACAAATATTTATAGAAACTACGACAAGAATATTTCATTATTTTTATCTCGAGTTCTGTGATGATAATGTATAATGATTAAGTTAGACATCATATGCATTCCAATAGAAGTTTTACCAGGAAAAGTACTTTCTCTTCTGTTTTGTAAATAAAGATCCAGATCGTATGAAAACATCCAAGTTTTCCACTATGTCACGCCATACGTAAGTTATATATAATACGAGACTTATATCATGTCCTTTGAAAAATCGTATGCTACGAATATCGCTTTTTCCAGAATTTCGTTGTGCAACAAATATTTTGCAAATATCTCGAAGAGTAGACAATATATTCGGTATCTATTAATTCAATGAACTCTTCATCAAATCCATAGATGGAATATACTTGTAGCCGTCACCAAGTCATCATGACACACTATCAGATGTGTCTAATTATGACCCATCCATCGGTGAATCTCAAATTTACCATTAGAAAAGATAAAAAATACTACGAAATATCGATGGGTCATCAACCACATGACATTGATAGACGTCATTACGATTTTAAGTTACCGTTAATTAAGTGCTACTTTCCAACAAATAGGACTTGTCGAACGGGATGTAGAGAGAGAGAGGGCGTGAAAATTACAACTCATTAATCAGCAATTCATCATAGGTACTTGTGAGAAAAGACTATTAATCAACTAACACGAGTCGAACTCACTTTTTTCAACAAGGATTATTGTAATGCGCAAAATCATTTAATTAAAACAACAATTTTTACGTGAAACACATTTATTTAAAGCACAAAATCACTAGAATACACATATCTAACTCATTAGATTTCAGTTTCCTGAATAGAAAAAAAACTCGATTCATTGAATACAACTTTCTTCGTCATTTAGATTCAATATCAATTTGTAGTCCGTTGCCAGTTCTTCATTGTCACCTTCGTCATCATTATTGATCCTTACACTTGCCGAGAAGAACTTATAAACAAAAAGATAGATCATAATCAATATAGATGCATTTCCTGCTAAATGATAAGCATAGGACATGGTTAGCAATGATACTGATCGATGTGATTCTGGATCCCAAAGAAACAAGGGGTTCGTTGTTTTTGGCCAGATGACATAAGCTGCTTGGATAAACCATGTACCTTGCATTAACGCAAAATAACTTCTGGAAACAATTAACCAGAAATTATTCGGATTATAACATTCACATAATGCACTGATCATCGAACAGACAATTGTTACACCAAGTAGTTGATGTATGTGAGCATCTACCATATTTCGAGCATGTAAATGAAAAACCATCATTAAACCTTCGATCGCAAAAGCCAGGAAACCCATGATTTGTGTGGTGCGTTTGGGAAATGGAACTTTGAAATGAACGAGAATTTCAATCCATGCACCAAGAAAGAAGCCAAAAAGCATCGCAGTGTGATGAGCATTTTCATCGCCAATATGAGGTCTTGGATTTGCATCATAACCGGTTATTAATTCGATGGAAAAATGAATAGATGTTATTAAAATTTTGAGAATACTCTCAATCGGTGCTCGGCGAAGCGTCTTACTTGGCAAACACTGACAAGAATATGTTGTTGAACCTCGAAAAGTATTCGGTGATTTCGTCTTGCTATCGCTTTCATTACTAAGTGATTTGAAATAATTTACACAGTTATTCACATGCCACCATATAGCGAATAACACGAAAAATACACCTAAAGAAAAAAATGTCGAAATCAAAAATGAAACATTTTATCCAATCATACCAGGTGCAATATGTCCAATCCAAGTACCCATTTCGACAGATTTGTATCAATCTCAAATAAAATATACAATTGAAATGTATATATATATGTATGTGTCTTTAAGAAAAAAAAGTATGATCTGATACTGCTATATGATAGACTTTCAGGCCGAAAAGGAAAGAAGCAGCAAAAGAAACGACATCATTAGATCAATATCTACATGATACCCTATCATGACATGTGAATTACTATCAAAGGCTTTCCGCATTAGGTATTGCATATGAAGACTAGCTAATTTTGATAGAAATGTTGGAAAAGCGCTTGTTTTTACCCATTCTCGTCGATCATTAGTATAAGATATTATCCAGGATACAGGTGAACTGAATGTATATGTAGTAATCGATAATTTACATACATCTTTGCTCGTTTATTTATGCTTTACTCTTGAATGACATGATGACGATGCAAAAAAGTGACGCATGAGTCGTGTTCTCGTTCTCAAAGAACGAAGAGTAACAGAAAAAATTTACGATCGTTGTTCGGATAGTACGATGAAATACGTCGAATCGGGTACAAAGCCTTCATAAGTAAGTTGAAGTATTTTGAGACGTGCTGCAAGTTGAGAAGACTAGAAATTGTCAATGAAGGAAACGTGAATCGTTTGGATGAAAGAAAGTCATGGAAAGGAAATCAAATACGTGAAATAAACCGTAGAGAATGAGTGATTATTAAAAAAATGTTTTAATCAGACACATTATCCAAGACAATTATGCCAATTATATCTTATGAAAAGTATGCAACTACTTTTTTTTTTCTTTTTATAGAATTATCTCTGAACTCGCTTGAGAACACTCGTAGAACAGGACGGCAAAGTACGAAACTAGAGTGCAAAATCCTATTCTAAATTACCTCTATTCATATTTATTTGAATTTATGAAATCAGATGAACATTAAGGTATGGGATTTGCAGTCGAATTTGATTTTCGATACCAACCATTATCACAGCTGTTCAAATCAACTCGTATAGACGATTTTATTGTTTGATCGTGATAGAAAAATTGTAATATCAATAGTTAAAACTATCACACTAAGATTGTTGTATTGAAATGGTTTTGTATAGAATGGAAATATTACTATTGAGAATCATGATAAGATTTTGTGGTATTCAAGGGATTTGTCTTTTATATCCGTTATCCGCTTAAGATCGAGTTGCTACGTCTCGTTTTGCTAATAATCATAATGACTCTGATGAGAATTAGACTAAAGTATTGTGAAGGATATTTGCTGCATCTGCTAGGCGAATGCTTGAAGACAAAACTCTATGTTGTTACCAATGATGCTGGTATGTATGGTAATATTTTGCATGATTGGGTGATAATGAATTTTATTTCAAAAAGAAAACATATTAATGTGCGATTGAAAGTTCCCATACTACAAAAAATGCTTGAAAAAAGTATTTATAAGGAAGCACACACTGGTAAGAGATAATATTTGTTTGGAAAATTGCATAAGTATTTACGCTGTTATATGACCTTTCGTAAATAATTGTGTTCGTTGTTCGGATCGAAGGTTTCGCGGCTTTAACCGCTCACTACAGCAATAGACAAATATATATAACTGAATGCTATTTATGAAGAGAATAACCTACGTTAACAATGATTCTCTGTTGGCTGTTGTGAAGCGTGACGTCGTGGAAGAGAAAGCAACGTTTCGTCGTCTTGATCGTTTACGTCTATCAGCTACTGTTTCATCTCGAACAGGTGAGACAAGATTGTATCGACCGACACCTATGGTCTAGATAAAAAGCAATAATAAGTAGATGCTATATGAATAGGAAAAAATGTGGATTCATATACTTGGTTGCCACCGATGTTAGTGAATGAGCGTTTATCATTTCTTGATGATGAAGTGTTAAATGGTACTTTTTTCTTATGAAAATCCTCTTGTTCCCATGTTCGTGTGATTGCATAGGCACCTGGACCAGGAAAATCGACGTTTTTGGGTTCGAGACCTATTTTCAAAAGTAGAATATAACGAAACGAACTGATCACTTTCCGGGTAGTTACCTGGATGATCGATAGATATTCGATCTGTTGGCTTCTTTTGAAATCTGCTTAGTTTACTAAATGTACCATGTTTTGTTTTGGTCAATAAATAAGTTGAGGAGATAGATTCGGGAAAGTTTTTCGATGGAAAATCTGGTGACAGATCCCAGCGGTCAAGAACTGCGTGATGTCCAGTTGATATTGGTGCTGACCGACTCGTCGTAAATAGTTGATAAGGCCCTTTTTCACTAACACGTTTTTCAAGTAGCTCATTGGTTGAACTCTTAATATTATACGTTCCTGGACCAATTTTTGAACCCTAGGAATCCATACGAATGAAATCATTTTTGTAAGTTTCCATTTCTGTCATACCTCAAGCGGTAATGTTCTTGTTCCACTACTCCAATCGAATGAAGGAACATTACTTCCTTGTTTCCAGCGTTTTTCTTGGAGCTTCTCATCAGGTATACCATATGCACCGGGCGGTGGCGCTCGATTCTAGTTCGAGAAAAGAAAAAGACACTAGAGTAATAAGTATTAATGTTTTGGATTGTATTGTTACAAACCAAATTTTCTTTTGGAAACCGAGGAGTTAATTGATCGAGTGCACCGCGTGCGCAGTGTGGTCGACGATCAGCTTCTGTTAAAAAGTCGTTAACCGGATAAGTACCAGGACCGATCCGTCTTTCAGTTTCTTTTCGTTTTTCATACGTTTCTTTGAAGGATGAATGAGGAATCTTCGCCATTTGTTCTGTATACAATGCATGCTGCCAATTAGGACCTTTCATACGATTTTCTAGAGTCTTTGCACTGAAATCGCCATATTGCGTCAAGTCATAAGAACCTGGTCCAACATAAGGTGAACTCTGAAGTTGCATTGTAGTTAGTAATTCTGGATGCATACCAGTGGTTTGAAATCTAGATTTTCATAATTTACAAAAGTCAATCAATAGACAATTAGATCATACCTAATTGTTTGGCTAGCGAATGCCAATGGGCAAGGTTTAGCAACATCAGCAGCAGCCATTTTATACAGATAAATGAACTAAAATGTAATAAAGCGAACGAATGAAAGTTTTGACATCGTTTTTTATTAGAACAAATCGTTTCTACAGGGAAAAAGTCAATATGTTTTTCTTTATTATACTTCATCTGAGTGTCGAGTTAACATTATTTTCTTTGCCTCCTATCGGCAATCGAAACACACGTAGTTACAACGTTGACAAACAACAGTGCTTTACATTGGTAGTTTTACCATTACAGTGTTGGTTACAATAACGCTCGCCTCCTATTTTACCGTTCTTTATCAACGCTACTCTACTCACAGTGCATAACTGCTCTAGACATTTGCATATTTATCTTTCGTATCGACAGATTTTCGATGTATGGTCTTGATTTAGGAGTTTTATTCTCGTGAAAAAGGTTATTTTTATAGAAAAAATAGTAAAAACAAGACTAATGATGATCATCGATCTGGATCTTCTGCCCATGGTCGTTGAATTCGTTGTTGTTTCCATGTGTTTAAATTTTGATTTTTAACCATTTGTTCATATTCTTCTTCCAATGATGTTGGCTCAATATAATCAAGACCTTTCGCTTTGATTTCATCGCGCGAATATGTCTTAACATGTTGTCGTCGACGTTCATAGCGTACCCATGTTGCACTACGTAATGTCACATAGATAACACCCATTAATGCAATGTATGGAAGAAAGTTTTTAACAAATCGTTTGTTAATCATAGATTAATTTGTTGAATATTTGAACAAATGAAGTCTTCGATAGTTTCGAGGTCCTTTTTAGCGAACGAATGTAATGCAAAGCCAAACAGAAGCTGTTTCTTCAATTGTAAGCGTTCGTAAAGATGACGAGCAAGAATATGATATTCAGCTTGATCTTTTCCAAGAAGAGATTTCACTGAATACACCGGAGATGAATCTTCGTTTAGATTAACGTCACGACGGACAAGAACCTGTAAAACAATCATAATATTGATAAAAATAACTATGGTAAAACTCACTAAACTGCCGATTTTTCCAAACTGTGTTACAGATATAAAAAGTTTGTTATTAAAATTACTTATAACAAGATCAGTAACGTGATTGTTCAATGTTGTTTGGGCCTAAAAATAAGCAATTCTAACAGAAAATAAGTTACAATTACTAAGCCTTACGGTGTGTGTCTGTGGAAATTTAGAATCCATAATGCATAGCGAAAGAGAAAAAAAGTTTTTTTTTTATAAATAATGTGCGTTTAAGATTCGAAAAGAGATGATTGCCAATCCAAAAAAAAGATTTATAGATGGTGCTAAGTGTGTGCATCTCGAAGTGAAAGAAGTTTATAGCAAACTAATTACTGTATCGTTACAAATAGGAAATTGTCTAAAGGGAACTGATACAGGAAACAGTAGCTAACAGAGCTGATGTACCAATTTCAGCTTGAGTACATGAACGTACATTCTCTGGAACGCCTAGATTTTGCTGTAGTTTACTTGGTGAATGTTAAAATCGAATTTCCACATCGCAGACAGTTTCTATGCGATGTTAAATGACATATATTGTTTTTCATTGTAATATTTTTATGATGATGATAACTCATCAACCACCAATCTCAAGTGATAATTCTAATGCAACAGTCGCAATCCGAGGGCCACTGAGAGGGCGAAGATAGCCTTTTTTCTTATCCTATGATAGTGGAACAGTTATCTATAAACTACAACAAGTGAGTAAGAAGAATATGATTCAAAATCTCGATGAAACTAAAATGTATGACGAAATGGCATTAGAATCCTTAGCAGCTTAATCGAATATGCATCTAATTTTGTTCGGATTTAAGCGATGTGTGTGTCAACACACCATAAACGATATTGTATCTTTATGAATAAGAAAACTGAAGACAATAAATCAAAGACTAAAAATTATTTAGTTTTTTTTGCTTGGTGTACCAAACAAAGCTTGTCGCATAGCGTATTCTTCGGCTGTGAGACATTCTCTTCGTGGAATAAACACATTTGGGTCACTGATACCAACAGTCACATCGTAAATTGACAGGACATCGTTCCCATATGTGTCACTGTAGACAGTACGAGAAACTGGAAGACATCCTTTGTATGTCCATGTGGAAATATACGAAAGAGTTACGTTTACGGATGGAATAGTGAAATTACCACCCCTAAATAGATACTAGATGAATATTCGTCAACTTAAAAGAGATTTTACTTACCAAATAGTAATAAGGACGCCAGCATCCGGGAATGATGATGAACCGATGTAAGCTTCACCATATGAACGGGCATTTTGTGCAATGCCAAAATCACGCCATGGTTCAGTTATTGGACGGCGTGTGCAATTGTGTGCTTTCAGATCGTAAACAAATTCAAGTCCAGAATCGAAGAGAGACAGTATATCGAAAACATATTCGTCGTCTCCGACTTCAATGTCTTCGATGATTCGAGTACGGTGATATGTAGCGTCATAGCTGATCTTTCCTCTCACGGTGTCATGTTGTTTCTCATTGCTATCAAATATACGACCTTCCCATTGTGGTGGCGATGTACATGGATGCGGTTGTTGTGCTACTGCTATGCCAACCAAACAGAGAAGAGCAACGATGAACATTGTAATGGTATTGTTAGACTGGTAGTATAAGAATTGTGAAGATTTCGAATGAAATTTGGAGCCACTGGCAGCTCTTTATATACTTAGATCTGTGCTAAAAGAAATGATGATTATCAGTGTTGATTCTACGGGCGCTTAGATAGCAAAAGTAAATAAAATGACAAAGAAAGTGGTTGTACGATCTAGATAATAACATGACGAATATTTACATGTTTCTATTTTTCGCAGTTGATGCAACGATCTTCAGGATGGTACTGAGTTGATTACCGAACAACAAATGGTGCCTACTTCTATGGTACTTGTGACACGATATACACAACATTCACCAAGTCGTTTGAAACTTTCGCGGCTGGTGAAATAAACAGATCTAACACTTTTTTGCTCTTGAACGACTGTTATAGGATGTCTTGGTGAAGAGTTGTAGCCCAAATTCCAACTATCCTCTAGAACGGTTTTTCAAAGTACCGTATTCTTTCTAACACTACTAGTTTTGCACTACTTTGTGCTATAGAGATTCAGATGATGGATTTGGATTTCACATTATCAGAGTCATCATTCTTAAAAAACACTTGTTGGTCTCGTTTCTGAACGAAGAGCTTTTGGATCCCCGTTTCAATAGTCGAGTACTCCAGGAGCAAAAGCTCCATTTGTAGAGCATTTTTGACTTCGTGGAACATCTCATTTGAGAGAGCATCAAAAGATCTATCGAACCATATGTGGGCTGTCGGACGGGAGTGAGATTTCACCGAGATAGAGTCTTCAGAAAAGTAACCTGGATCTTTGAAAAATCATAATTTTTTTGCCAAACTGAACCAAGAATATCTGAAAAAAACTTTATTTCATGGATCATGCCATAGCAGTACGTAGGAGACACCTTAGATCGATCGAATTTTTACAAAAGTCTGTGGTGAACTATCTTGGATATAACTCTACTGAAGCCACATAAGAATTTGAACATGATGAGAAAAGATAGGAGGAGATTATTTCACCATGGCCTTATAACTGTGCCTTTCTTGTCGGTCTGACCTTCCTTTGTTCTGTGTTAATTTATCTCCTAATTCCTTTTAGTCCTGTTCTGTGTGCTGTTTAGTTTCTTTCATAATGTATGACCTCCATTATCCAGTTGCTCAGCCTCAAAAACATTTACACTTTGACACATTTCTTCCGGCTTTTTCTTCTTATGCTTGCAAAACACGGCTTTGCTAATAATGAAAATATTGACATTACTGTGCTGATCTCTTACGATATATGTATCAATGGAAAATAGCATAGATTCAAAATAGTTCACCACAGACTTTTGTAAAAATTCGATCGATCTAAGGTGTCTCCTACGTACTACTACGGTGTGATTCATGAAACAAAGTTTTTCAGATATTCTTGATTCAGTTTGGCAAAAAAAATTATGATTTTTCAAAGATCCAGGTTACTTTTCTGAAGACTCTATCTCGGTGAAATCTCACTCCCGTCCGACAGCCCACATATGGTTCGATAGATCTTTTGATGCTCTCTCAAATGAGATGTTCCACGAAGTCAAAAATGCTCTACAAATGGAGCTTTTGCTCCTGGAGTACTCGACTATTGAAACGGGGATCCAAAAGCTCTTCGTTCAGAAACGAGACCAACAAGTGTTTTTTAAGAATGATGACTCTGATAATGTGAAATCCAAATCCATCATCTGAATCTCTATAGCACAAAGTAGTGCAAAACTAGTAGTGTTAGAAAGAATACGGTACTTTGAAAAACCGTTCTAGAGGATAGTTGGAATTTGGGCTACAACTCTTCACCAAGACATCCTATAACAGTCGTTCAAGAGCAAAAAAGTGTTAGATCTGTTTATTTCACCAGCCGCGAAAGTTTCAAACGACTTGGTGAATGTTGTGTATATCGTGTCACAAGTACCATGGAATCACCCTGGTATATTCGTTGGTATAGTATCAAAGGAAGATATATCGTTTGTTCAAGTAACATATCTCCGTGTTGATCGAAATATGTTCATGTCAACAAAGAAGTGTGAAAAACATTTGTTACTGTCTTCAATATTATATTTATCGCGCTCTATATGATAATCATTCATTGCTAGCCAGTCACGACTCACAACAATATAGTAGGCTTCAAGAAGACTCCAAATAAACAATACTAGGTTAATGAGATAAGAGCTGTTGTGTTATTGATCATCATTCATGATAGTATAAATTATTTAATTGATTAACAATCTCGTTACAACTGGAAAAAGGAGAGTCGGACCCATTTTGACTCTAATACACTTCCGCACTCGCTAAACTGATGAACAACTTAGAAATGAGCTGCAGATCACTATGTATCCTTTTTGTCCTGTCCTAAAATATTGGAAAGATTCTGTTCGTATATTGAATGCTATTGCAAAATTGCTTTATTTTGGAAATGGAAGAAAAAGAAACTTATCATATATGAAATAAGAAAAATGCAAAGTTAGTGAATTTTCTTATGAGGTACGTCGAAAAGAGCATATCGGTTTTCCCATTCTTCAGCTGAGACACATTCACGTCGTGGAATGAATACATTTGGATCGCTAATACCAATTGTAATATCATAAAATGATAAATGCGAGCTACCAAATTTGTCACTGTAAGTTGTGCGAGACACTGGAAGACATCCTTTATATGTCCATGTGGAAACATAATCAATTGTGTCATTGGATGGTAATGTGAAGTTGCCAGCCCTGGAGAACGAGAAGAACAGAATTACATTTGCTGAATCGAGTAGTGATATAACTTACCAAATTGTAACTAAGACACCTGTGTCTGGAAAAACGGATGAGCCGATGTAAGCTTCACCGTACGATTGATCTGTTGGACGAATACCGAAGTCACGCCATGGTCGTTGGATTTCACGTCGTGTGCAATTGCGAGCTTTGAAATTATAAACAAATTCAACTCGGCTATCGAAAAGAGAGAGCACATCATAGTAATCTGATGTTGAACCTTCATCGATTTCATCAATAATTCGTTCACGATGATACACTGCATCGTAGCTTAGTTTTCCTTCCACAGAAAATTTTTGTTGTTCATTGATGTCGAAGATGCGACCTTCCCATTGTGGTGGTGCTGTGCACGGTTGTGGTCTTTGAGCTACAGCAATGCCGACCAAACAGAGAAGAAGAGCAGCAAGCATTTTGTCTTGGTAATAGAGAGAAAAAATTGTGATGCAGATTTTGAAAAAATATCTCACTTTATATATACCGTTAAGAGGAGTTTGGTCAACATTGTTGTCACTTACCTTGACTTAGCGAAAGGAGAGAGAGAGAGACTGCACAATATCAGTGCAGCTTGTTGTTATCATATGCAGAATAGTCGGAGATAATAAAGCAACACTGGCTAAACAAGGAATAAATAAAATAATATTGTGTTTTATAACTATCTTTTTTTGTGAGAAAAGAAACAAAACTTGGTGATATCCTCTTGTCCGGAAAGTTCGTGCAACTCATCTGTTGTAAAATATCAATACTCGAGATATAGTATTTATAGTCCGGTCGTTTCGTAACATATGAGCTGCACGAACTTTCCGAACAAGTGGGAGGCATCATTCAAAACTTAAAGAAGAATTCATCACTTATCATTTGATATTGAATTAACACAAGAAGTACCTGTTTATCTGATTTTCTTATTAATTAAATGTTTGAAGCAACATCGAAATCGATAGATTATACATTCAAAAGACATTTGTTAAACAATTTATAAACATAATATTGAACACAGTTTTTTGCGTGTTTCGTTCTTTTTATCTGGAAAGCTAAGAACCGCAACAATCTCTACACAGATAAGCGAATATCAAGCGAAAATGCTTTCCAAGTATAGGGCACTTGTGTTCTTTTTTTATCAATCCAAGAGACGCAACTTTAGTACAGCATTTTCTCACCTTGAGTCGAATGTAAAAATAGAACAAATTCGTTATATAAATACATGTTATCTAACCGGCATCAAAACACGTTACGAAAGGTCATTGACGTACGAATAAATAAAATATTGGATAATCATTTATTTACTGTGATTATCTTCTGTCAACAATTAACTAGAATGCTTCTTAAAGTTTTACGTGATGATCTACGTATAGAATATGAACAGCCAGGCAGAGTTCCGAATATTAAGCGTGTCATATGCTATCCAATGAAGTATGAAAAAAACGAGTTTCTCAAGCAAGATGAAAGATGTCGAATATATTTTATCTTTTCTTTTATTGGGTAAAAAATACGTTTACATCAAAAGAAAGAAATGATTGAAAAGAAAAAAAAAGACTTGTCTACTGTTGTTGAATTTGTTTTGATGGTTTACCAAAAAGAATGTCTCGCATAGCATATTCTTTTTCTGTAAGACATTCACGTCGTGGAATGAACACATTTGGATCACTAATACCAGCAGTAACATCAAAAAATGATGTTTCCGTGCGACCAAATCGTTCACTGTGACTGATGAATCGAACAGGAATACATGCTTGATATGTCCATGTTCCGAAGGTGCGAACAGTGTCATTTGATGGTGTTGTGTGATTTCCACCCCTGATCAATAGAATTGAATTATACAGATAAATAATAAAGAGAAGTAAGACTTACCAAAGTGTGACTAATAAACCTAAACCTGGTGCAGCTGATGAGCCAATGTAAGCTTCGCCGAATGAACGGGCACCTTGTGGAATGCCAAAATCACGCCATGGTCGTTCAATTCGACGGCGTGAGCAATTGCGAGCCTTGAAGTCATAGATGTATTCAGTTTGGGAATCAAATAAAGCAATAACATCAAAAGCATCACCCTGGCTACCGAAATTAACTTCTTCGATAATACGTTCACGACGATATACAGCATCATAACTTAATCGTCCACGTACCATGAATTTCTGTTGTTGATTATAATCAAAAATATTTGCTTCCCATTGTGGTGGACTAGTGCATGGCTGTGGTTGTTGTGCTGCGGCCAAAGCAACAAAGCAAAGAACAAGAATAGCAAACATGGTGTGTTTTCAAATGTAAATGACAAGAAATCGAAAATGAATTTCTATTCATTGCTCATGAAACAAAGATGTCTTTATATATAAGAGACTTCCTAGATAAGAATTGATTATCATAGCCTTGAAATAAACACGAAAAAAAGAAGCTAGAAGAACAACTTATCAACATAACTTGATGGGACGTTTATTTCAAACAAAAAAGAGTAAATACTGTGGTGTTAAGTCAACAGCGTTCTTTTCTTTCGTTTCATCGTATGACAAAAATAAAAAACACCTCACCTTGTTCTACTGACTACAATTGATTAAAATGATAAATTAATTGTGCGCTTTGAGATTTTATTTCGTATCTATTATCTATTTAACATGTTGACGATTGAAACTGAATTAGATATTCAATTGTGGAAATTAGACGACAAAGACTTTGAAAAATTTCTTAATTATCAAAAACAACATCGAATCAATGATAATGAAATTGAAAATCTTGCATCGCAATGCATTCTTGATGAACTCGACGGTAAAGTTTATAATTCTCCCTTAGGTATGCAAATATCACAGAACATATCCAAAAATCTTTGCCAAGAACTTGCGCAGAAGTCTCCTTCTTATAAAATCATTATCCAAACATTTGTTGGAAAACTATCCGATGAGAAGAATATCCAAGTACATGTTTCATATCGTTTCGATCAACGAACAGATAAATGTTTCATAATTACAAAACATAATGGGCAAATGTAAAGAATTGAAACGTAGTTTTTCATATAATAACTACTAATGATGTACTTTTAGATATTGTTCGTGCATTATTTTACTACTTTTCTATTATCAATCTGATCATCAACGTATGAAGTCATAATGAAACTAATCATTTTGCATATCTTTCATCATTATTTTTATTAAATACGAAAATAGCTCTGCTCGATGTCTCTCCTTCTCTCTCTCTCTTCTGAAACAGAAAAAAACTTGAAGAGACGAAAAAAAAAAGAATTCATCATACTCACAATAGGAACAAAACAAAAAAGAAAAACTTTGTATAGATAATATAATAATTAGTATTAGAATGATTTGAGAGAAAATTCTAGCACATACACAATAAATAATCAAGAGACAGAGAGAGAGAGAGAGTATGAAAGAGAAAGACCAGATGAACAGAGAGAAAACGAGTGATTCAAGAGAGAGAACTATACAGAGAGAACTCTTCTTCCCAATGATTTCGTACAATGAACAACGCAGAAGCGTACACAGACAAAAAAATCTTTTGTTTATGAAACGAAACAAATTTTGAAAGCAAATAAACGATCGCACATATACATTGACCAAAAACAGAGAAATTTTCAATATGTTTCAGAACTAATTTAAAAACAAAGAAACGTACAGGAGTTTGTTGAAATTTTTCGTAGGAAAATTTCAGCTGGTAAGATCATCCGAACAAAGGAAATTTAAAAGAATGTCATCGACTGAATTCTGATCAATGTTTGTTGGTTGAGTTGCATTAGATTGTTGCCCAAGATAAGTATCAGCCAAAGCATCGATATCATCGAAAAATGTCTAATGAGAACGAAACGAATATTTTCGGGAATTTTGAAAATCATCTCTTCACTTACCGATGATACATCATCAGTTAAATATACATTTGTTGGATCCTTCAGGTATGCAGCTAGATCATCAACATTTGTCATTGGTTTGTTTTGTTCATATTGTTGATACTGATTTGTTGTTGATTGTGTTTGCTCACTTGATGATCGTGGACGTGTCAGAGGTGTAGGCGGAGCCGAAAGAGGATTTGGCGTTGGTGGCATCATGACTGGTGTGTGAGGATTCATATTTTGATTATTGATTGTTTGAGGAGTCAATGGTGTATGTGGAAATGAGTATTGATGTGCAGCAACACGAGGTGTACCAACACTCTAGAAAAAGGACATATGAAAAGTAGAAAGAGCTTTTAAAAAATTGAAATGCTTGCTTAACTTACCGGTGGACCAGGTGTCATTTGTCGATCTGTCGTATCACCAACAGGACAAAGCGCATCCGTTAATGAATTTACTGAGCCTGGAGCACCATGATGGTATGGTACACCGAACTCACTAGTACCATTGAATTCACCGTTGTTGTGTAGTTGATGCGGTGTACTTGGATTACTCAGCGGACTGGTGAAGATTTGAGATTGATGATGAGAAAGTGTTGATGGAGATGTTTGAGCGTACAATGGACGTTCTTGTGGAATAGATGAAGATGATTGTTGCGATGGAGGTGGGGGTGGTAATTGTTGAGCTGGTACATAAGTATTAGGCGCTGAGTGAACTGATGGATAGTATGTAGCAGATTGTGGTGGCATGCATGCACGTTGTTGATAGTGGTGGTGGTGGTGTTGTTGTTGCTGCTGTAATGATATGTTTACCGGCGGAGGTGGTATTGGTTGATATTTCATTAATGGCTCTTCGTTAAATGTAGGTATACTAGTTGATTTCTTTTTCGATCTCGCTCTTGATGCTTTTAATTTTGTCGTAGATGTTGTCTCAGCTAAAATTGCATCATAACTTTGCTGAATAGGAATTGGTTGCGAATGAGATTGCAAGTGTTGCTGCTGTTGCATATGATGTTGTCTCCAAACAGCTTGCTGTTGATACCGAAACCATGCTTCTTGTTGGTGCTGATGCTGTTGTTGTTGTTGTTGCTGTTGCTGTTGATGATAATACATGGGATGTTGCGATGGATGCATCGGATAGTGGCCGTTTGCTGGATGCATATGCGGTCCACATTGACAGACGGGACCTGGCGGATGTGGATACATCGGTGCATGGTGAGGATGATGTGATTGAGATGGCGGTGGCATTGGATATGGCATTGAACGAGATCGTGCTGCCATCATTTGCTGTTGACCAGCATTGTAGCTTACCATCGGACCGATTGATGATTTGGCATTCATCATTCGTTGATGTTGTTGCTGTTGTTGGATTTGATCCATCTGAGCAGGTGTATAAGGCATAGTGGTATTGTTAGGTGTATAAACATCCTTCAAAAGGCAAATATCAATTGATAATATAATTCATGGAGACAGCTGATTTGTAAACTTACAGAATTTGAAGTCGTTGTCGAAATTTCGTCTGATGATGCAGGTGTCGTATCATTTGAATCGTTCTGAGTCGATATCGGTGTTGTACTTGAAGTTGAATTTGGTGTAGTTGCCGATGTTGGCACAGGTGATAAAGGATTTGAAGATGTTGTAGGTGGATTCGGTGGATATGGATATGATTGTTTTAAATCACTCATTTGATGTGTAGTAGGATACGGAGATGATCTTGAACGTATAGAATGATAGTTGAGAACAGGACCTACGCCACCTGATATCATTCTATGTGTTTGCTGTTGTATGCGCCATTCATCCATTGAGACAATTGGACGAAAGAAAATAAATCTAGAAGAAACTAGATCAGCTGTTTCGAAGTTTATCAATCTACTCAGTTCTTCTATTTAAAAAATATTATAATAATCGAGTAAATCGTCCAAAAGGGTAATAATCGTGTCTGTGTGTAACGGAAAGAGAAACTGGTCGAAGTACAACAGGCTACAGAGAGAAGGAGAGACAGAGACAGAGAGGAGAGAAGAGGAAAAGGGAAAGACACACGTCAAAACGTCGTACTGCAAGCAATAGCAGTAAAGAAGCAAGCGAACGGAAGAAAAAAATGGGAAAGAATCACTTGCACCAGTCAAACGTCTATCTGTCTTTCTCTTTTGTGTTGATGGTGATGTTAGATGTTTCTTCCCTTTCTTTCTTTCTTTCTTTCTCTCTCGTCGACAATTCGCGAATTGTAGATAGGTACCTCTCTCTTTCTCTTTCTCTCGGCGTCGATATGTCACTGTCACTGGTCTCGTTCTTTTCTCGATAGACAGCAGCCAAAGAAAAGAGAAAGAGAAATGTAACCGATCAAAACTATCAAAAGCTCGCGTTGCTCCGTCAGCCTATATCAACGAACGGCGAAAGGAAAGAAAAGAAAAAAAATTCCTGTTCTTGTGCTTGTTCTTCATCTATGCTTGTTGCACATCGAATAATAATGGTCGTATAGCAGTGGGCGATGTGTACTTGTCCTCCGTTTGCATTTACTTGCTATTCAAATGTGAAACGAAGAGAGGAAGAGAGAAAGAAAGCAGCGAAACGGGCAGAAAGTCATCTGACTGATTTTTTCATCGATAACAACCGTTTCTTACTTGCAAGAACTACCTTGCTATTTTACGTTGCTTTAATAATCGAAAAAAAAATATCAATTCGATATATTTTTTTACCTATAGTTTAAACATTTCAATCGTTCTCTTTGCAGCGGACACGCTGATTTGTTTAATCTCTATTTTGTTGAACTCTTATATGAGTGGTTAGGTGAAAGATAGGGCATCGGCCAGTGAGAGAAACAGAACGAAAGAAGAACGAGGATGAGGTCGTCATCAGCATTGTTGTTGTTTGCTGAGGTATTGTATGGAGTGAGAATAGATGGAAAGGAGAGGTCATCGCCACAGTTTCAATATGACATATGATTGAGTGAGAGAAAAAAATATTGACCTATAGTTCGGTGATTGACCCTTTATCTCTTGCACAAGTCTCGATATCTCAACGCTCGAATATCTCTCTTACGTCTTAATGTAGATGCTCATTGAAAGTAATAATAAACTTCGTATTCTACTATTAAGTGAGCTGGTAGTGATAAAAGAAAAGAAACGATTAGTATATTTAATGCTTTGTCATGATTCTCTTCTGTTTTTAAAAAACTTCGCATTTCTTGTTCTCCAATGGTTTATCACGTGCTGCTCAGTGAGCAAACATCGAATATCAAGTGGTTTTTCTTCTTACTCGAAAGTTTTTCAAGGTCTATTGTCATCTGAATATTTATCTTCATTTCATGTAAACGATTTTATCCATAAACGAGAGAGAAAGAAAAAATTTCGTGAAAATATTGAAGATCTAACTTATTGAAAACGAAATGTCTTCGTTTCTCAAATAAAGTCAAAGAGGCGGGGGAGAAGGAATGCCGATAGACACAGTACTTGTCGGCAATGTTATTATTAGAACTAAAGTATTAAGACGTTGAGAAAAAAAAATAACCGAATGAATAGTAGTAATAGCAACGCTGACGACAATAACAACAATAATAACACGATGAAAGAAGACAGAAAGAGAAAGGGGAGCAACAGTGAGTAGAAGACGATGAGAGAGACAAACAAAGTCAGTTATTAGAAGGTGGAAAGAAAAAGAAATCTAGAAGACGTCAATATCTGTGTCTTACTGACACATAAAAAACAAAGTGCCTATCTGCCATACACTATGTGTTTCATTACATATGTTTTTTCCGTCTTCCTTAGGGTCAAGGTCTTTATTTTTGTAATTTCTGATGAATTTTTTTCAAAGTGTATAATTTGTACAGAAAATAACGATAAGCGACAAACTAGAAGAACAAATTTTGAGAAAAGCATTCGAAAGAAAACAACATTTACGCATAGAACTCGCTTGTACTAGTATCATCAGTTGACTTGCATGGTGTCAGTCTGCTTTCAATTAGTGAAAATGACGTTGTCACATTCGTCAACAAAAAGAAAAAAACAGAGCTGAAAAATAAAAAAATGTGAAAGAAAGACGGATGACGTAATTATGTAATAACTTGACAGTACTTTCATACTAGAACTATCCTTTCATCATCACTCATCATGTAGGTGAATGTATATCAAATATTCACTTTTTCATTCTCTATCGAATCAAATAGCTTTTGAATGAAGCATATCTTTATTTCATAGGACACCTGCAATGGCAGCTAGAAAACTAACATATAAATACAATTGTCAAAGAACAAAAAAAAAACAAAGGTGTCAATCATCTGTCATTCCAGTTCGATGTTCTTTTTCTCCTACATTTTGTTTAACACTTATAAATCTACGAAATACACGTATTATACATAGTCGAGAAACAATAAGACAAATCAATATATACATTAAACATGTGCTTCGAGATTTTGTTATTTCATAAGTTTCGATTTCGATTCTTTTCTCTTTTTCTTTTATTTATTCGTTTTGCTATCGGCATTTTTTTGACGCACATTCGTGAGGAATGTATGCAAACGGCACTATAACCATAACCATCAGTATGAATTCAATCAATAATAGCCAAGCAATATATATGTGTTGTATAATCATGATACTCTCTCTTCGACGCCATGTAGTACAAGAGAAAAGAGTAATAGCAGAAGAAAACAGAGAGAGAGATGAAGTTGGCAACAAATGGGGAATCTTCTTCTCGCTATTGCATTTGTCAAATTTTTCTTTAGTTTTTTTTTTATAGGGTAGGCGTTTGTTGTTGATGGTGTATATGGGAGACTAGGAGACGATTTGTTCTCTTTCTTCTCTTTTCGACATAACCGACGTTTTCTTCTTCTTCTTCTTCTTCTATTTCTACCTGCAGGACAAACCGGATGAGAGAGATAGACTCAAACGAATGAAGGAAAATGGAGAAGAAAGAATCGACAAAGAAAACGTCCATCAATGAATGCAACACGAACTACTAACATCATCCGTATTTTTACCAGTGGATAATGTTGATAATGATGCCGATCGTGCTAGTCTACACATCGGGCATAAAAGATAATATCTCGCTTGCGAACATACGTCATATCCTATTCTATCCTATCTCACAGATCGTTCTGACTCGTATCATCGAGGTAGACAAAGAAACAAAAAGTCTCGTATACATAACACATAATTTGATTAACGAGCCGACAATATATTTGTTGTAGACAAACATCATAAAAGGAGGGAAAGAGCGAAAGTCGAAAAACAAAAAAAGACGCATAACGAAGTTTTCATCAATGTCTATGACGTGATGTCAAATTAAAGCATGACAATGTAGAGAATCTATTTCACTCTTATTGCTGATTTATCATGATGATTTAGTTGTTTCATTGCAGAACGTGTAATAGACCGAGAAGAGAAAAATAGACGAAAAATGTTGCTTACAGAAACCCTAAGAATGAAAACTGACGAAAGTTTTACTTTCTTTGTGGCTTGTAATACAAACAATTAACGCACAAAATTGTTTCTATTACGTACAGTCACCTCTTTCTTCAAGTACAATCTTTATTCTCATGGAAAAAAATGTCATCACTTACGTTCATAATAAAATCAAAAAATTCAAACGTACAAATCGATGAAGTAGAATTTAGATGGTATCCCAAGGACAAATGTGTTGAATGACGAGAAAAAACGTTCTTTCAGTTTACAGATGATGCTCGTTGAATAACGATAGAATGAAGAAAATATCATCATTATTTCAATGGCTATTATTAATAAAGACTAGAACTTTCTCTTCCTCCGTTCTTTTCCTTGAAGTGCAAAGAAGTGCTCTAAGGCGTCGAATGCTTTTCTTCAGTTTAGATTTTGACTATTTCTATCCATGCAGTTCAATGTCATTTACTAATTGTTTACAATTTCCTATTATTTCTATCAATTCTCAGATGAATATAGATGAATTGTGTTTTGTAATTCACCAGAGTTTCTCGGTAATATTTTAATCAAGGCAACTAATTTGTTATTGTTTATCGGCAAATAATACATTTTATAACATAATTGAGATGGAAACAACTCAGCACAGACGCAATTGGTTTCTTCTTTGTAACTAACGTTACATTTCGAATACCTAGAAATCTTTTGCGTATAAAATATTTGAGTCAGGAACCTTAATGAACTCATTATAACCGGAAAGGAAAAATATCTTAATCCTAAGTACTTGGAGTTTCTCCGTTTCTTATTCATTATTGAGCGTTTTTCTTCAACAAAGAGCTGTAAAACTTGATTCTTTCATGAGTGATAATTGTACAGACTCAACAAATGAATACTATAAACTGTATTGGTTCGATTATTTCGTTTCTATCGGATATATCACAGATTCGGATTCAGTCAATCCTTATGCACCGTACGGCAAATGTACACGTTCATTACTATGGTTAACTTATTTAATCAATCTCATTCATTTTTTCCTTTTATCAAGTGGAACACTTTATATTTTGAACCATCACCGAAGTAAATGCACTTCAAATGTTAAAGATGAGTTATTCGATATTCATTGATTTTAGATCGAAGTGGATTCTGGTGGCCATTTATAACATGGATGTTATCGTTTATTTTCATTATCGCATCGATTATTCTTTTCATATTTCGTAGTAAGTTCGACAAATGAACGTTTGTTTAGTTTGAATTATAAATTCTAGATTTAAATACACGTTTATTTCCTCTTCTGATCATTGCTGTACAGTTATCAACTTTGATTATTCAATGGATATCAATATTTATTGTTACTATCCAAGCATTTCATGTGGAAGCTCGTTATCAACGCTGTTTATTCATATTTATCGTTGTTTTACTTTTATTACAAGCTGCATGCTTTGCTGCACAGGCTCTAATCACATTACATTGTGTATTTAATCTCAAATTTATCAGTACATTTTTGGACTACAGTAAATCTTTCGATAATTTGTTTTTCATTGAAATCATGCATGTTTTTCTCTCCATTAAGGTTACTGGTCAGCAATTGTCGCTGCGGCATGTATAATTATTTCGACTCTTTTGTTCGATTATATCTTTATATGGTGTGGTAAGTAACATAGATATTTACTTATCAATGATTCAAGTGAGGATCGTTTGAAATAGGTAAGCATAAAACATCATCTCGAATAAGTCCGGCGCCAACGGCTCCACTGAATTTGAATCCGAATCGAGCCACCTCACCTATTGATCCCGTTATCTTGGAAGATTTCCATCAACAGCCAGGAGGAGCAGATTACCAAATCTCAAGCAATAGTGATCGAATCAGACGTTTTCGTATTCAACCAGCAAATCAACGTATGTTATTCATTCATCTATATTCTCTGACACTCTGAAAGCTAGTATTCATTGTAGGATTGAACAATGAGGATTGGAATATTTCAGCAAATGAACATCGTACTAATCCAGGACACATACATAGTCTATTAACAGCGAGCGAAGCTTAACGATGTTTGTTTTTTTATAAATATTGTTTCACTTTATACTAATCAATACAGACAACATTCGAAAAATTGCATGTTTATTTTTATATCTTATCGATATCTATATCTTCTCATTTAAACCTTTGATAGAGGTTGACGATGACTAAGAAACATTTGTATCACATCCAAATTTTCAAAGATTTTGAACCCACTATGAATACATTAAATAGAATCAGAATGACTGATCATAGCGAGAAAATATCGTTGATCTCCATTAAAGCTACACCTTTGATGAGAATCGTGTAAAAATCCATTGAGCAATTGTCAACGTCTGCTATCCGAGAAGGATTGAAAATACTCCAAATATTTAGAGCGCTTTTTGATCTTAAATCAAACGTATCGTAAACGAATATTTACAAAGAAAAGTAAGATTGCTTTCACTATCCAACATGTGGTTGTGTGATTAGTCGCCGGTGCACTTGAATTCTGTTTTTCCATGTTGATGTCGAATTCGACAAATGTAACGAACAATGCGGCCGTGTCTTGAATACAGAAAAGAAGTTCATTAGTAAGGTTTCATGATCCAGAGTTTCTTAAAGAACGTAAATAATATCCTGGAAGTGGAATTTTGAGAGAAAGTGCTCTAACATCTTATTGTATAAATACTAAAAAAGAAACGGAAAAATTAAGGAAATTAGACCAGAATATCAGCAGTTCGAACATAAAGGTAAGCATTAATTTCATCTCTTCTCGCCAACTATAGTTTAATTAAAGTTGAGACACGATGGTTCATAGAAAATAACGACGCCTTGATATAATTTTTCGATAAAGTTTACTTGTCTCAGTACAGAATTTTTCAGTAATACAAAACGATTATTGACTTGATTACTTTTTCATGACGTGCAATGATTCAATATGCAGAGAAATGTATTAGCCCACATCATATTGAAAAGTAGAAATTAAATTAGAATAAGTTTAACTGACCACTACTGACAAGCCACTTAATCTGACATAAAACGACAACACATCGTTCATTCTATTTGAACTATTGTCTGTTTTGGATATTTAGCCGCCTTAGAACATAATAAACAGTGATATTCATGTGTCAGAAAAAAAAGGTTGATGAATTCGGTATCGCTCACTTCGTATTCATCTATCTTTTGAGAACAAAAATATTTTATTTACGTCAACAATTGATAAATTATATTTGAACTTCAAACAAAGTAGAATTATACCGTATCAATTTGCCGATGCAAGCAAACAACTTCAGGCGGATTGATTAAAATAGTTTCACGTTGATAACCTCTTATTTCGTCCTTAAAGTTCTTCTTCATTTTATTGTTGTTTTTTCTTTCTTACCACTAGGGCTTTTTATGTTGATTATGTGTGCCTTTTTTTGGTTATCTTATGTTTTCTACTGCGATCGAATTGCAACGTAACTATGTCGCACTCGTTAACAATATACAACATATGATTGCTGTTTTGGCGAACATAATGTCATCCAGAAAGTGTTCAACATCTTGAATAGTTTGCAGAGGATAGGATGACATCAGATTTTATGCAATCGAATAAAAACTATTGAAATAATATCAACATGGATAGTTTTTTTAGTAAAGTTTCGCTCGTTCTCAGTAATAAAAATGATGTGCATTTCAAAAGACTTACTTTCTTGCTTGTCATGACATCGTAAATTAGTGTATTATTTTCATTTAGTCACATCGCTCACTAATTTCACAGAACGAGAAATCGAAAAATTCATTCGATTGGAAAAGCTGCTCATCGAAATATGATACATTTTCGTGAGCGAACCAGATCATGCTCTTCAGGGGCGTAATAAGTACTTTTTCGCAAAAAAAATGCTCACTTCTGAAGCATTCTTTTCAATCTGCCATCTAAAAACAATTCACTTGTGATATCTTTTATATTAGTATGATGAAATTAATAGATTTATTCGTGTTTCACTGAAGAAATTTGATTATATTTCTTATTTTCCATGTTGTGTGTACACTTATGATATGTTTTTCTGTTGAGTGTTCCGGATTCGTCGATGATATCATTTCCTACAGAAGATTTCGACATGTTTTATATAAAAATATCTCGCTGCTATTTTCTGCTTCTTGTTATCTATCCGAACAACAAACGCTTCATAAATTATAGAACTTTACTTCTATATCACTAAACTTAAACTTCTTCAGTGTTTTTTTATCTTCTGTTCCTATCTGACATAATTTTGTTTTCAATAAAACATCTGCTGATTTAAATATTCCAAAATTGAAAATCATTAAATGATAAATTAATTGAGAGTGACCAGACAGGAAGACACGTTTGGAATTCGAATAATTCAAGTGGTGAAATCACTTCCCAAATAGCCTGCGAAGAAGTTATCTTGTCGATTATGGACAGTTCTATTCACTCTTCGTGCTGATTTATGGAAAAGTATCAGAGAACTATTTTTTATACAATCATATTGTGAACTATCTAGTAATGGACAAGTAGTTCACCCTGCTCTTGGACCTGTGCGTTAAGATATTATATGTCCGTAGTGTTCTTTAACGTTCTCCAATATAAGAACACACGTTAGATGTAGTTTGGATAGCTATCTTTCCATTTTCTGCACATATCAGCAATTTAAAACTACTCTTGGATAGACGTCGAGATAAGTCAGGCAGCGATCATCAAATAGGAGTGGATTTTGAGCTGTCAATAGTATTGCTAAGTTTTGAAAGGTCTCGGTAGTGAAATTGTGAATGAAATAGCAACTCAATCGAGATCGTAGCAAAAGAAGAAACAATGTTCGTCCCTACTTTTTACATGTGAAGGTAAGACCAGTACTTGTTCAACTTTAGCATTATCATCAATTAACAACGAACCGTTTGCGACAAGTGAAACAATGGTTAGATCGGAAAAGAATTCTTTTGTACAGATGGAAAAACATATTTTAGAAAAATTGAATTTAGAATGGATTTAATAAGTTTTTGTGAAGATCATTTGTATGTGATATATTTATTTATTTACTACTGATTTCTGTTCTTTCATATATGAGGCGCAATACTTTATATTAATTACGATATCTATCCTTTTTTCATTTGTCGAGGGCTTTATTCTTTGTTCTCAACTGAAATATTTGACTTTACTTTCATCGTTATGCTCGAATAGTTTATCGAACTATTCATCTTTCTTTGCCTCGCTCCCACTTCTACTAAAAGATACGGATCGATCTGTTGCAGTTCTCTCATCTTTCTGCAATATACTGTGTTACAACTATCTCATCCTCAAGATGTTTTCTGTAACTTTGATCTGAACCGTATTTCTCCTGTGAACGTACTTTATTCACACGTGTTTTTTTCTTACAACTTCATCTTTGTTCCTCCACATTGAGAAAAGAGTCGACTTTGAATAACCTTGGAAAGTTTATTGATAGTATAGAGAAAATAGCACTACAAAAGAAAACACTCAAAAAATTGAATATTAGTCGATAGAAGTTAGTCTAATGGAACTAAGAGATTAATTTATTTGGGTCTAATGAAAGTCACGTAGTTACAGCGTCCGTATACCAGTGAACAGAAGTTTATTTCTACGGGGCGCAAGCGCCTGCAACCCAATCAGGATTGTCGTGTAATTCAGATGGTGCATTCTTGAGCAAACATAGGCTGTCTGGTGTGTTATATGACCAGTGATCACAACCGACAAATGTTTCGCATAATGCAGCACAACCGACAGCACTGAAAACGCGTGCTGGATTATTAGGATTTATATCACCACCATTCGCATCTTTGCCTTGAGCAAAGTTTCTACATTTGGCTGGCGGTGGTATACCTGTAATGGAAAATATGATTGTTAATTCAATGATGAGAACAGTTGGATTGTCGAACTGAAAATACCTCGTTTTTGTGCAAAGGAATCTTGATTAAGATCGTCATCGACAAGGTTTTTTCTGGTTAATCGTGCACTGCTTTGGCTGATCACCATCAAGGCAACAAGGGCAAAAGCGAGAATTGATGAATTCATTTTCGTGAATGCTAAATGGAAAAGAATATTGAATCTGAATAACAGATATAATCACAAAATACCTTGCTATCAAATGGAGATAAAATACTGTATCAATGAAACTTAGGATAGGTATTTATATACATTATATTGCGTGCGACGCGACGATCCGATACTGAAGGCAAAAATGGGTGAATATGACGCAAAAGTGTTTGTTTCATGCCGACTCACCCGAGAATAACTATATTTTGAATAGAAAAACAAAAAAATTTTCTAATTGCGACATTATATTGATAAATTAGATGATTATTGTGAAGAGAATAATATTTGCCATATTCATATGCATACAGCTATGGTATATCTGTAATCACTTTTTTTGTACCTGTTTATTTTCTACTTACGTGCGAAAGTACACTGCGATACACCTAGAAAAAGAATAGATCGAACCGTCCTTAAAAGTAGAGTAAGCGGTAAAGAAGAGGCATTCGCAGGGCATTGTGACCCGGTCAGTTCTCATTGATTAAGTTTTCTCTCCGATGATTTTCTTCGCGCCGGATTTTGGTCAGAATTTCAAACAAGGTTTCCGATTATTTTCTGGCCACTTCCTGCAAACGTGGAGTCGGAAGCGGTCAGGAACTGGCGGGATACTTCGTCGAAACTTCCGACCGGAATCCAGCGTCAAGGAACTTGCCGAATCCGACCGAAACCGGCTCAGATTTAAACGGATTCGGTCGCCGGAATGATCGACCTCGGTTCTAGAGGACAATTACAGTTCATTTTTGATTTTGCCGCATTCTGAAAGTATTATGAAGACGATAGCAATGTTTACCCGGATCGATTATACATGAGAATGTTGTAGGTGTTTTGTTGTTTCAAATACTTTCTAGATTGGACACGCCCATATGATGTGAGAGCGTGGAGCACAATATATCCGGAGTGTGAGGGTGGATGAAAATTTTTTAAGGATTCGAATCGATAAAGCTCGACGAGTTGTATCTAGAGCAAGTGTTGGAATGGTAGCTGGAAGTGAAGAAACGAATCCGTGCGTGTTTTTCTGAAAGTTTAATGCTTTTTTTGCAAGTTTTTTCATCTTTTATGACTAAGGAAAAATATTTCCTGGAATATATTTTTCGAAATAGATGGAGTTCACCGAATTCCACCTAGAACAAGTGTGATTAGAGTTGGAATACACTCATCTGCAAATCCGTTCAAGAAAAAGTCGAATCCGTGTCGAAGATATCCTACATAAATACTCATGTATTCCGACTATGATCGTTTAATTAGTGTGGCGTAGAAACTTTTCCTAAGATGCGAAGAAAAATACAATACCAGTAGACACTTGTGTTAATTAGAGAGCTCACACTCAAAAACGTCATATGGTGAAACTTATTTCAATTTATATGCAACTTACAAGCAATCCTCGTCCATTGGATAGGCTAATCTGACACTGAAGTGATAGAACGACTTGTCCACGAATACATCTACACAAATTACTGGCGTGCCCAAAGAGCTCTGTAAAGTTTATGAACGAAAAGAGACTCAGAAGAATTAGATTTCTATTATCTTTTCTCGCACACCAAGAATGGCTACTTGATCGAGGAATAAGATGTGCATTTCTACCCTTGTGTTTTTTCGAACTCTTGTATGTTATTGACACATCAACTAGCCATCATATCGTATAGTTAGGAGCAAGAAATTCAATGAGTGAATGTAGCTTGGTTACAATCGTCACTCTGTTGTCGACAAAAAGCTGCTATTGAAATTCATATGATATTCGTCAAACGATGGAAGATCACAAGTAAAGAAATAACCTGTCGAAAGCCTTCAAGTGTTTCTCTGTTTCTTCATATTGACAGAAGGATTACTAACACATCATAAAAACAATATAATTTTACGGTAGAAAACATTTCTTTCAGCAGCGAGAAGAAAAAACAAGTTCTCTCTTTGCTGATCGAGTCATGTTTTCTCTATATACACCTACAATCAAAGAAAGACTAGTTAAATGAAAAGAAATCTAATCAAGCATATCACTCACTTTCCTTTAGATCAACTCTCTTCTTGTTTTTGTTTTTCTTTCTCAACTTTGAAATGATATAGAAACGAATCAGCAATTTCAAGAAAATAATTGCTTCTATTATTTCAGGTGTTCAACGCAAAAAAAAAAGACGAAACAAATTGATCGATTGAAAGGTGATAAATTCTGTTTCTTTTTGCCAGGCATTGCTTGAGTATAAGGTGTTAAGTTCAACGTTTGACAAGTGTGTGAAGAGAAAAAGAATGAGTAATTATTGTTATGATCATTATAACCTTCAATTCATTTCAATCATCTTTGATTTCAATAAAAATAATCATCAATGAGAACAATGTAAAGAAGTAAATCTCTACATTCTCGTCTCTTCTCTTTGTCTACTCGACAATACAACACATCCAATGGAAACAGCTTGGAATGGTTCATTATAGATCGAATTCGCCATCAATGTTCTTTACTACAATAATGAGAATAACACGTAAGCACATGTATGTACTGTCGCGATCGGAAGATAATTGCTTTGAACACTATCAAAAACAGAGAAACATGTGTGTATGTATGTCTATCAGAAGAAGTCAGACATTGACAATAGAATGCTCATCATGTAAGTAAATGAGAAAAAAACGCGCATTTAGTCACGAACGAAGCACTATGATTGCTACTTTTGTGATTACCTTGATTGAAGAGCAAAAATAATCATTTATTCTTTCTATCGATTGACTCGACTGTGTACAGTCGTTACCGTATAATTAGTTTCATGGATTTTGCTTGTCGATTAGTAGCTTTACGGATCGTATAGAGACGAGAAAAAGAGCATCTCCAAAGAGTCCTTGTGATTATGCATTGTTATACGATTCAAGAGAGAATATGTGAGAGAGAGAAATGTATTTGGGATTGGTCACTTAATTTGTCTTAGGGTGAGAAAGAGAGCGAAGTATTTATATCGTTCGTTCTCGTATCATTGAATGACCGTGAAGTAAAAGTGAAGAATGATTGCTTCCACTTGTTGTATATGTGAAGGACCTGCTTGGCGTGTGTATACTTCTACTTCGGGTTCAATATCCCAAGTGAGTCGGTTAGTGGATAACAACATCACAAAACAAAACATGATTGAACTTCTTTCATAAACATTCGTTTTATATATATAATAGACAATGTCTTTCTTCTTTTTTTATTTTCGCTTTTGTTTTTGACATTAGTGCGTGTCGACTAAGTCGATTGAAGCCGCAAGGATATCATTTTTTCTAACTGCATACATATATATATCATCAGACGATGCCGATAAAATGAAGAAGAATGCAGGTGCGTCTATGAGACATATACGAGACTCATTCATCACTAGCATCAGTCGTCGATTACCAGTGTCTCTTTTTTTTTGTTCTCTTGAGCTTTTACAATGTCCAATTCAACAAATTCATTCGTTGCTAATTCTTTTTCGACAAGCATTATTGCAATTACACTAATAGCAGTTCTTATAACAGAGTGTAAAAGTAGTGAAAAAAGACGCAAGCTGCTACTAGTACTACTACTATTACAATGTCTCTTGTCTCGATCGGTCGGTATAGACTTACACGCACAACATATTACTAAGTGACTCATAATCCCATTCGTTCCGTTACTCAAGACAAATTACACTTGTTGGATCACGTCTATACGCAGACATTTTCATACTTTTCAATATTTTGCCGGCCGACACGGATTCGACTTTTTTCTTGAACGGATTTGCAGATGAGTGTATTCCAACTCTAATCACACTTGTTCTAGGTGGAATTCGGTGAACTCCATCTATTTCGAAAAATATATTCCAGGAAATATTTTTCCTTAGTCATAAAAGATGAAAAAACTTGCAAAAAAAGCATTAAACTTTCAGAAAAACACGC